AGTACCCGCGCCCCTCGGTGGCTGCTGGCTGTCCTTGGGTGCCGCCGCCCCTCTGCCTCTAGCTCTTTTCTCTGGTACTTTTTAAGAATCACTGCAAATCAAAGCACTACTTATTATGCTTCTTTCTAGGAGCAAGTTCAGAAGGAAACAGATATGGCCAGCAACCACAGGCCTCCAACAGCACGTCCTTCTTCAAGAGGAGGAGTAGGGGTGACAGCAAGGCCTGCCTCTTCGTTAAGGACTCCATCCGCAACCAGAACAGGAACAGCGGTGTGTTAAAAAATTGAATGTTGACTTTGATGTATTTAGATTTTTAACCAGATTTTGGTAATTTTTCATGAGACAAACCATGGGTACCGTGACTGGGTTGATAAGTTCTCAGGAAGAAATGTAGGTTTTCTTGCTTTGTAAGCTCTGTAACGTTGAGTGAGAGGGGCCGAGGAAGTCTTGCATCAAGAGTTCACCTGGTATATCTTAAAAGCAGCAATGTTTCAGATGGAAATAGCAGTGGACAGGTTGGTCAGTGGTAATCACTTACCTTCCTGCAGCTGGACACTTGACTAAAGCTTGTTTACTGGGATATGTACAAATACTGACAGATTCCTAGGCGAACAATCTAAAGTTTAAAGGAGTCTCACTGTTAAGGTTTAATTGATTTGACAGTTGCACAGGGATAAAAAATTAATAATTCTGAGTTGAGATTTTTTTTGTTTTTGTCTAGATGCCTCCTAGTACATCAAGACCTGGTTCTCGTGGTGGTTCTTCAAGTACTGGAGGAGTGTTGTCATCTCAGATTAAAGTTGCAGACCGTCCAGTGACACAACAGGGATTAAGTGGAATGAAAATGGGAATGAAAGGTATTTTTTACTAAAGACAGCTATCAGCATGTCTGAAATATTTTTAAAGTAATATTTAAAAGATTTTAGAGGAAAACCTTTTTTATTCCAGAGTGCAGAGTGAATAGCTATGACTGGCAGGAGAAAGAAAAGGGCGATTAACGCATCCCTCCTTGGTTTTCTTTGTTTTTGGCAATCAGAAAAAAAGGCTTTTCTGTGTCTAAGCTTTGTTATGATGTTCATATCTCACTAAAAATCCTTAAAAAGAAGAGGAGGATATAAGCTTTATCTTCTTCCAGCACTGCAGAACAATAAAAAATATTTTGTTACGCAGCAAATTTCATATAGCTAATTGGGCAATGTATATCTCTACTGCAGTCTAAAATGAATTTCTGCCTTGCCCTCATTTATTTTAACCAGGTAAAATCATTTGAGAATACTAAGGATGTGGCAATTTACTGCTTGTAAGTACTGCAGATGGGTGTGTTTTCCCCCCCATAATTTACAGGTCATCAGAATATCATTTGCTCTCCTTTGACAGGTCCTCAGAGACAGATAATGGATAAAACCTATTATCTTGGACTGCTGAGGTATGTGTTAACAATGGAAGGCTTAGTGCGCTCGTCCCTTTTTGCTTTATTCCAAGGAATGAAATGCAGCAACGTGAAGTTAAGAGTTGTATTTAATGATAACATGGGATAAGTGGTGTTCATTTATGGTATTTCTAGTACAAGAGTTATGAAGGCTATTTTGGACATGCTTTTTAGGGGAGAGGAATTTTATGCTTGTGTCTAGATACAAGTAGATATTTTGGCCATTTTGTTGTTGGGCTTGTTAAGTTAAATGCACTCTCCGCAGTATTAGTAACATGAGCGTCAGACTCTTTGAGCTTACTCTGTGCCACCTGATAGGTCTGAAAGCTCCAGTTGTATGAAGCAGCATTTCAGATGACAGACTTTTTGGTGTATGCTTCTGTTTGGTTAGAGGCAGTCCTTGGATTATACGTTGAGCTAGCACTAAAAAAGGCAAGGCCAGTGTGGAACTGTATTGCATATGCTGCTTTGTCACGTGATCACATTGCAATATTGAATGATCAGTCCTAAGAGAGGTTGTTTTTAAAAAGGGATCATAGCCATGTTCTGTGAAAAGATTCTGTGTTTTTTTGCCAATCAGCCTGAGAAGAATTCGTGTCTCTTTTAGTGATGGGGCAAAAAGCAAAACATTTTATTTCATATCCAAACATTCCGTTGATTGTCTCGGATTCTATCTGATAGAACTACTCTGCTTTTTTTCCTCATTTCTCCAGCTCTTCTTTCAAATAGCTGATTAGAAACATGATGCAGACCTACTGGTTGCACATAACTGATAATAAAGTACCACTGTCTCAACTATGTTTCAGTTGCACGTTTAAAATTGAATAATTCTTTTTTGTTTAATGCCTTTTTGCAGAAGCAAAATAAGTGACCTCACAGCAGAAATTAACAAGCTGCAAAAAGAAGTAGAAATGTACAACCAAGAGAATTCAGTCTATCTGTCGTATGAGAAAAGGTGAGATGTGTTGCAGCTAATGGAATTTTGGCTTTTTTCAGTCACAAGACTATATTCTAGGATACTGTGCAAGCTTTAGGGAACCATTAAATAATTATTTTATTTTATTTTAATATATGTATTTCTTCCTTTTGTAAGTTTGGCTTTTTGTTTTGTGTTTAGGGCAGAGGCTTTAGCTGGTGAAATCAAAGAATTTCAAGGTCAGCTAGCAGACTACAACATGGTATGCTGCTGTCAGGTTTTGATACTCAGCACTATCCCTTCTGCCGTTTGCTTTGTACTGTCTTTGCTTAATTTCAGCATCGCTGTAAAAATGTACTGGTTAATACTACCTTTCATTGAGCTGTTGAAAAGGGATGAAGTGGAACTTAAGGAAAACATAAAAGAAGAAAACGTAGGAGATGCAGCTGCACATAGATTTAAGTTACTGCTGCGTAATAGTTGTTGATTTTGTACAGTTACATATGAGGATGATTAATTCTGAAAACTGTGTTTAATTTGTTCAGATTCCTCCATCCTTTTTTTCTTTTTTTCCATTTGCAATAATAGAAATTTGCTGTGTGCTGAGTGCTTTGTGCGTTGGTACCTATTTGTCTGATATTTTTGTTGTGTAGTTAAAAGAAAGAAGAGTACTAATAGCTTGGAATTCTGTCTTGTTTCAGCTCGTGGATAAACTTAACACCAGTACTGATATGGCAGAAATGATTAGTGATTTCAATATGGTAAGAATTAGAGTTTTTGCTGTGCTTCAACATAAAATGAAAAACTGTGTGTTACTTTATTGGCACTTTTAAAGCATGCTATCCTATGACATATATAAAAAGCATAGCTCTAATTTAAAACTTCTGTAATTATTTTCCCAAATAAATTGAGCATAATACTTGGTGACATAAATGCTCGCAGTGATACAATTGTCTGAAACGTTGCCTTCTAAGCTCTGTGGTAGTGTTTCCGTCTTTTCGATAAGAGAAGGTTATCTTCCCAACACAATTTACCAGTGTTGAAATGTATTGTTTATTTGACTAGGAAGCAGAGAACACTAATCTTCTGAAAGGCAAACTCACTGGACTGTGTTGCCATGTAAAGGTGCCTGAGCTTCTGGAACCTTATTTCTTTTTTGTTTTCCACCCTTTAAATTATTCCAGCATAGTAATTATTAAATAGCTCTATGTCATGACAAACAACAGAAACCATGAACTTTGCTCTTCCTTGCGTTTCTTTCTTGATGTTCTAAGTTAGTAAGATTGTGCCCCTAGGCAATAAGGGGCATTAATCCTGGTCCATTCCTCGTGCTCATTTTGTCCATAAGCAAAAGGAAGTAGTGTTAGAAAAGGTCGTTTTGATAGAATGAAAAGCCAACTATTTATTTCTTAGACAAAATAAATAATTTTTCTTCACATTTAACGGAAAAATAAGGTCACAACATCGATGTCATAAAAACAGGAATGCTTTGCAAGTGTCACACTATCTGTAGGCTTAAACAGTGTTTTGCCAAGAAGTGCCCCAGTAATGAATTCCACAGTAATAGTGAATTAATTTATTACAAATTTGATAGTATTTCATTCTCAAAAACAGAGACAGTGAATGCCTTCTTATTTCCCTTGACCTTCAGTGGAAGAATGCAATTGCAGAAACCATTTCATCAGTTTCACCTGGGAAAACTTCTGGAGCAGGAGGCCTCTGCTGCTTCTTGCTCTACTGCATTCTGAGCAGCCTCTTGCTCATTTAAATGCAGCTTTGAATTTGTGCATAGAATCTGTATTTTTCTTAGCATATTAATTTTGTTGTGTGCTTTTTTGTTTGTTTTTAGTTGAAGGTTCAGAATGACCGGGAAGCTCAGAGTGTGGATATAATTTTCACAGAAAAACAAGCGTAAGTATATTATATGCCTCTCAGAAGTTGTTAAATCACATCTGAGCTTGGTAAAATAGGGAAGATTGAGACGTGATCTAATTCAGAAGTTCCCTCACAGTGCCATGCGTGCAACAGTTTCAGAATCAGTGCCAGGCTGCAGCTGGAGTTCCTGGCTTTTAGCTCTTCGGAGTAACTGCCGTGGAGATGCTTACCATCTCATTTAAGAGGAGTTCAAGTGGGGGTGGAGATTCTTTGGCTTTCAGGGACCTAATGTCAAGGTCATGGTTTTTGGAGGTTTTGCTGTGCTGTGTAAGTTAGGAATTGGAGACTTGACAGGAGGAAGCAGAAGATAAATTATGTTGCAAATGCGGTCTTTGCTGCTCCCTTTTCTAGTAGTGATAGTAATACCTTATGGAGGTGGTGGGGCTGTCATACCCGATCCTGTTCTTCCCTTTGATATGAAACAGAGCAAAAGGTAATTATCGCTAATGTTTTAAGGGCACCCGTTGCCAGTAGAAACACTAAACCAAATTAAAATTAGGAGCTCCCAATTTAACTAACGTGTGGTACCTTTCTCTGTTAAACATTATCTAATGATGGCAACATGCTGTCTACCATGGCCCCTGACTTATGTTTCAAAGACAAAAAAACTCAGCTGGACAGCTTCTTTATATGCAACTTCTATAGTCTGTAGTACAGACAACTTTTATGTATCCAACAGGCTTCTAAAATAAGTTTAAAAATAATTTCCAATATGCTTTAACAATAATGGTAGTTTCTAGCTAGGTGAAAAACTCAAAAATATTTTTCCTCCACATGGCTTTTAAGAGACTCACTTGAAAACAGAAATTATTTCTTTCCGTTTTCTGGTCCTGTTTCTCTACTTCACATTGAACTGTCATCAGAGTGCATTCCTCTAGATACTTGAACAAAATCTTACCTAAGTTTTAGATACTGGCTGGCCATAGGCCTCAATATGTTCATCTCTGTCATCCCTGGATGATTCTGTGCATGCGCATAGGCACGTTCATAGCTAGGTGGGAAATTTTAAAATCAGTACATGAGACACCTGCATAGGTTAGGTGTCTCAGGGATTCTTAGATCACGGTTCAAGATTTAGAAGCTTGTTGGTTTGAGTGTGATCTTCACTTCACAGCGGACGTACACAGCTGTTGAAAATTAATTATGGAGTTTTAAGTATACTAAAACACATACGTATTCCACTGTGCACAAGATTTTGTGATACATTTTTAACTTATTAGTGAGAACTCTATATATACTTAAGTAATACTACCAACTGTCCAAGAATAGATTAAAATCATGTTTAAATTCTTATTATTTCATCCTGTAGATATTGAAAGAACTGCTTCTGATCAAACTGTACAGTGCAGAACATTATTACTCTTAATTTATGTTTGCTTTTGTGAAAGAAAAAAATACGTAGGTAGTAGCTTTTTTTTTTTTTGCTTATTGTACGTAATTCAATAAGGATGATACTAAGTTTTAAAAACAGCAATTTGCTGTTTAATAATGAGCCATTTTTCAATAACACTTTTGTGTTTGACGGCTTGCACATGTATCTTTTTTATCCTGTTAAATGTCTTTTCAAGTGTTAATAGAATGTCAAGAGAAAAGACTTGGTTCAGTAGCAAAATAAGACATAAAGGCGTTACATATGCAGTAATGTTAATTTATTGTTGTATTGTATGTGAGCACATTTAAGCCAGCAGAAAAGTTAGCTTATTGTTCTGCTAATTCAAGTGAAAAAAAATCTGCATACCCTTCTCTAACTGGAGGATGTTAGTTTTGCCTAACAGACTATGGAGCTGTGATACCACTACTTTGTATTCAGTCCACAGTCTGGCCGTGGTCTGCTTCAGCACTTTAGATGAATTATTTTTTCTCTCTGAGCTTCCTCACCTTTAAAGCATCAGTAATAACGTTAGCTTCACAAACTGTTTTGTAAAGATTTGGTCAAGTTAAGCAGCGTACAATAAGCTTTTTTTTTTCCCAAAGAAATGATCAAGTAGGTTTTCATGTAAGATAGATGATGCGTATTCTTACATGTTTTGAAATATTCGTTATGACAGTAATGCATGCTTGTTACCTGTTTTTTTGGCTTCGTGATTCATGCAATAATACCTTGTTATAGATTTGACCAGATGAAAGAGAAAGAGATGGACTGCTCAGTGTCATTTTTTATCATACATAAGGTAACAGAATATGCAAGGCTGAATAGATTGAACAAGGTTACTACAGTTTTGAAAGTCAGATCATCCATTATGTAAGAAATTAGCTCTCCTCAGTTATTCCATGAGTATCTATATATTTATCTTCAATAAATCCGTCCTCCTCAGGCACAAATGCATGAATTTTCTCAAATATTACTATGGAATGTTCATTATTTTTACCTGATACAGTGGGAAAAGAATTCGTATCAGCTGAGAACTCTTGTTCAAACATCTCTGGGTCATTTTCTTCCAGACGACGGTGATTGTAGCTGATCAAGTGGCGATACCATGTTGGACATTTTATAGCAGTAAAAATCAGGAGCGTAGTGCTTAGGACAAACCCTAGGACACCCACTAAGAAGGTCCAACTTTTGCCAAGAAGTGGTAACTCTTTAAAACAGACAAGAAAGAAAAATCTTTATGTGTAATACCTAAAAGAACTGTAATATGAATTTTTTCATAGTTGGATTGAGCTCATGCAGTAAAAGATTAGAGGGGAATTAGTGACTCCAAAGGATTAGTAAAATGTTATTTCTATACTACTAGAGAGCCTTTGCCGTCACTTAGAACAAAAATGCGTGTATATCTCATATATTTCCTAGCACTGTAAAGAAATATGCATATTTATCAGTACATAAATATACATCCCATGCATATTTATCAAAATTAATTAATTTCCTCAAAGTCAGCTGAAGTATTGGGACAAATGCAAGATAAAATAATCATTTTTCAAAATTTAACCCCATTCCAGGATTATATGTTGAAATGGGAAAAATCATCAGTCATTGACTTTAGTTTCTGGTTCCCACTCTTAAGTTGATATGGTGAGGATGTCTGCACCTGGACATACTATTTCTTTTGTCTGGCGTATTCCTTCAGTTATAATTTTTTTATAATAAAATTTCAATAGATTGTAGGTGCTAATAGTCTTTATTTACAAATTGTTTTTATATGCTGGCTGCTGCTGTAGAATACATTCAGCTGCTGCAGCAGAAAGAGTTTGTGATGGCTTACAGTCTTTGTGTATCTGGAGATCAGTATTTCTACTTTATCTGAAAGCAAGGAGTGAAGCATTTCAAGATGGGAGAACAGAGAGGAACATTAATTTAGATGGAAGAAAAAGAAAATAATTGGTTTTTGCCAAAAGGAAAGAGAAAGAGTATTTTAAAGAACATGGGACAGGCACATCCATGTCCTTTACACTGAACTGCAGTAGAGGGCAGGACTATAATTAATAGGCTTGCTTTTTTACGTATTGAGACAACAACTACATCCGGAAAAAAACTAATTTGGAAGAAGAGGTGGCAGATTTGTAAGATGCTTTCCTAGTTCTGTTAGACAGACCCATACAGTTGTTTGAATTTTAATCCTTTGACATTTTCATATGATGAATTTGTAGTTTCATTTGAGAGGTAAGGTGTGGTTTATTTGTTTTGAGTGCTTATTAAGTAAAACTCGACATTTACTATGATGTTTTTACAGCCTAACAAAATTTGGAAATAGGACTGTCTTCATAGCCCTAGCTTTTATGGAAAGTTTACAATATACTAGGAACACAGAACAGTTTAAAAAACACGAGACAGCAAATTGAATAGCATATACTCAGTAAAGGGGAACATCGATGTATTACCTACACGCGTTCCATTGCCGCCGGTAACGTTTGAAGAAGCCAGAGATGTTAGAAAGGCAATGCTTTTAAGCTTGTTGGCAGAAGTGGAAGTTACAGTGGTTTCTAAAGAATCTTTTTTCAAATCACAGTCAGTTGTCTGGATAACTGCAGTCTTGATAGAAATTATTTTCTGAGTGTTTGGGTATGCACATACAGTGTTGTTTTCATTTTCTGTGAATATGAACAATGAAGAGGCTATGAGATACTAAAGAATTGACAGATTTAAAACATGTCCATGGATAACTCGTTTATTATTGCAAAATATGATTTATGGATAAGTTGTTGCTGGATGTTATTCAACTAGAAAAAAACAAGGTAAGGCTCTTTGACGTAAACAGATATGAAATGCTGCTTTTACGTACCCATTGTCACGTTGGAGGTAGTTAGCCATTTCTGTAGATCAAGAAGGCCACAGGAACAGTTCCATGGGTTTCCAGCTAAGATGACTGTAATCAACTTAAAAGATGTTTTTATATGAAGAGATTTCAACAGGTTATCCTGTAGATTCAAAACTGTCAGACACTTCAACGATGTAAATACATCTGAATCTAATTGAGTAATGTTGTTATGGAGTAGATTCAACTTTGAGAGTTGATTTAAGCCTGCAAACGCTGCTTGATGTACTGTGATAATATGATTATTACTGATATCCAGGATTGTGAGTTTTGTCAGATTGCAGAAGCTGTTATTAGGCAGTACAGTAATTACATTTTCATTTAAGTAGAGTTCAGTGAGATTAGTAAGCCTTTGAAGAACCTTTCTGTCACTGTCATTTAAAGTGATTTTGTTATTTTTGAGGCTCAATTTGGTAACGTTTTGGCAGAGGTTAATGGGGATAGCACAGAGGTTTTTTCCAAACTCCTCACAAGTGACCTGTTGAAAACAAGAGAACATTGAGAATTAAAATAAATCTTGAAGGGAAATCTGAAGACCACGGAATTCCAATGATGACCACTGATGGAACAAAAAATCTTTTTTGTAATTGGTCATGCCAGCCCTTTGAAAGAGAAGTTCTACCCGTCTTCCTGCAATTCTGTTTGTTTTTCTTAATTTGCTTGTGGACTCATAGTATAGGAGAAGGAATTGTTTTGCTGTATCAGAGACCTGAAATTCCAAAGCACATAGACGAAAACTCTCTTTGAAGTGCAGGGCACATTATGTGATTGTCAGCCAAAATATAGTCATTTTAGCACTACTAATTCCAAAATAGTATGCTTTTTTGGGGGGGGTTCAAATATGAAAGCTGTTTGATCATAAAAAGGATTCCTTTCCACATAATCCGGAAACACCAAAAGAAGGTATCATAGAGGAACATAGATTCAAGAATGAGAATTAATTCAAGTGTGCTTTTTTGATATATATATATATATATTTTTTAGTAATGATATTTACTTTTTGTAACAGCTTTGGAACAGATTTTCAGCCAAAGATTTAGTACATATTGTTATTGTAAATACGGCACTTGAATTTGTCTTGGGTTTCTGGATTAAAATTTAACACAGTTGCAGTCTTTAGGCTAGAGAATGTTTACTCTCCATGCCTTGAAATATTTTCCATTTTCTGAAAAGGGTAGTTTTACGTGTATGTATATGCATGCAGATTACAGTTAAGTGTCAAGATGCTTTAACTGGCTTTAAATTAGCTTCAAAGTCCTGGAAACAGCTTGGTTGTGTTACCCTCTTCCAAACAAGTAACCCGTGCTCAATTTGTTGCTACTGTGGCCGGATTGAGTCTAGATGGCTTGTTTAAAAATAAATGGATGTGACCTGACTGTTCTACACTGTACATACCCTTCATACACCTTTTTTTGTTCTTCCTGTTCATCCCGAAGGTAAATAAACAGCCACAGTACTGTAAGCCATGAGTCAGGGCGAACACTACAATACTCGTTTTACCACTTGACAGTTAATCAAGACTCCCTTCTTTCCCTCCATTCTCCCAAAATACAAAATCTATTAAATTAATATTTGAAAGAATGCTTTAAAATTCAAGTATCTTATATTCATTTGGACTTGACTTGGGCAGCTGTTAAGTCAATAATTCTTTCTAGCTTGAGCACTAGTTAGCCTTTTCCAAAGAACTGTTGCTTTTTAGGCCTGTTCCAAACTGTATAAAGACAAAGGATACACTCCTGTGGTCTGCAGTGAGATTTGACTGAGATATAAAACCATCTCAAATGTATTTTAGTGCTGTTCCACCTCTAATGATTACTGGCAGCTCATTGTCCACTTCATAAAAATCCTTGACTTTTTGTTTGTCTATAGGCGCTTCTTTCTTCAAGTATTTGATGTTCATAATATTATTTTTAAAATATGTTCAGTTTCTAGCATGTCTTTCAAAAAAGGGGTAGTTTACAGACATATACAACTTACAATTTGAGAAGTAACGTTGCAATCAGCAGTGACTGGGTTCCAAAACAGTGTTCCAGCCCAGATCATGAACCAAGAGAGTTTCATGTTCAGAATCTACCAAAAAAGAACACTTTTGTATATTAAAACCAGAATTTCAGTTCCTTCTGTAGTAGTTCTTTAATGGATTAATAGATGTAGTTGTTTCAATGCTAATATATTTTGTTCCACACAATTATTGTCAAATGTATAAGGAAGAAAATAATCTTCGCTTAACAGCCCTAATGCATTCAGCTTTCACTGAATTTGGATAAACCTAAAACCAAGTGACCAGGCAGAATCAGCAGATTAAAAAGAGACTAAACAAGTTAGCGAACAACAGGTGCATACATGGGTAAACGGAATAGGCAGGAGTGCACACATTAGTATCCCTAATAAAGCAGTTGTGGACACTAGAAGAGTATGAGAGGAATAAACTGCAGAAAGTGTCCAAGCCTGCATGCTTTCTCCAAATAATTTCTCTTTTCGTCACTGATGGAGGCAGGATAACATACTAGATGGATTGTGGGTTTGTCGAGTCAGGCATCTTTTATGTTGTTATGCATGTTCTTAAGCAGCTTTTTGTAAATTTATAATGAGTAGATTGACCTTCATGGTATTTATGATCCATAGTATAACATATATCATGTCATGTAAACATGCACCCCTGCGCTATGAAAGTCTAATGGTTGCTTTGGTCTTTTGAACTAAGAAAACACAATTCAGTCTGTAGTGCTGAATTTTTTGAAGAGGTACATACCTTATTTTTTGAAAGTCAGGAGAGCTTTTCTGACAAATGGTGACATTAACTTCTCTCAGAAAAAGTGTAACTCATCCATATTCTCCTTAGAATCAGGCATTATTTGCAAGATCTACTCATTCTGAACAGGAATATCCAATCTTTTCCATCAAATATTAAAGTGATTTCTATTTGTGCCAGATTTGAACTAAAATGCATGTAAAAGGTAGATTATTATTTTGATGATATTTTTACACTTTTTTAAAGCATCTGAAGTCTCTTAGAGAAAAGATTAAAAAAAAAAGAGAGAAAAAAGACCAAAAGATAAGAATAGATAGTTGTTTAAAATGTTTACTGTATCTTTAGCAGCAGTGCGTATTCACTGAATTTAACAGAAAAAGGAAAAAAAATTGTGTAAGGAAGCTCAGCTGCACCAGCAAAGAATAATACCAAATCTAAGAAGTCAGACAGATGGCAAAATAATTCCATCACTTCTTAAAAAGGTAGCTAGGAAGCCTCTGCATTTATTATCAGCATGATAATAGATGAGAACACAGGACAAACTGGTCAAATGTAGTTGATCGCCTCTCTGCATTTGTGTCTCTGATCCAGGACTGACCTTAGTCACGTAACTGAATTTGTGTGGTAACTTTCTCACTTTTTTGAAAGAATGAGAGGATAAATGGCACGTTTACTGCCCTGATCCACTGTGTAAATCTACAGCTTTTTGAAATTTGCATTAAATGCATACAAAGTTCATAAACTTTTTTTCACCAGATTATCAGCAGCAGGGACAAGTGGCGGAGGGAAACACAACCAGGGGATAAGTTCTTGTCTTATAATAATACAGTTGGCCTACTGTTGGGTTCTTGGCAATAATAATACTGTTGGCCTGTATGCTTTTTGGAGCCAGTTTTTGTATTGCTAGTGGTAAACATAACAGTGTCTGAACACTTGTTGCAGACTATGTTTACAGTTGGAATTTGTTTTTTGTTTACAGTCGGAATTTGTGGCATACTTGGAGTTCATAGATATTTCTTCCAAACAATTCAGAAACAGAGTAGAAGCAGGCCTTAACCAGGTAGTCTAGGAACAGATTAACAACATTATTTTGGTTTGGAGAGTTAAAGAAAAATTACTGTAGTTCATAGAGTGGGGAAAATCCATACACGTTTATTTAAAATTAATCAATTTATAAATTATCTATACCAGTTATTCAAGTTAAAAATCGAAGTAAATCAAAAAATCTTTTAAAAATTTAAGCAAAAAGTTAATAAATCTCAGTGAAAGGGATGCCATCAACTTGAAAATCATTCTTCTCTCTAAAAATTCATGCAATTATGTTAAAAACACACAACACACTTCCGGGTTTTTTCTTTCATGTCTCTTCAAAAGTCGGGTTTTTTTTTCGTAAAGACGACTTCCTCTACTACTCTACTACAAGGAAGGGAAGGAACCCTTATAATCAGTAGAAGAACAGAAAAACATCCATAAATTAATTGCAATGTAGCTTTTCACTAAAACCATATTTAAAGAAGACTTGCCAATTAAGGTAATCATTTTAGAAAAATATTGAGGCTGGCAATACATTGATAATATCTTGACGTTTTCTTCTAATTAGAGCTCACAAGTGTTTTCTTTAAAAAGTTTTCCTTGGAGAGGTTTTGAAGATTTGTTCATTTAATAACTGCTGTTATTTTTCTCATATTTGTAAAGAAAAAGGCAGATTTGGGGAGGTAGTGGAGTTTATATATTCAAGTAGTCTACTTTTCAAAAAGAATCTGACTGTTCTCTTTACTGAACCACAATTTACTTGACAGCATGGCATGTCCAAGGTTCGTAGTAATTCCTGAACCTTTAACGCATCCCAGGGTATATCTTATTCCAACGTAGCAGCCAAGTTGCACTATCAAATCCTTGCCTGCATTTTGAAAAAGATCTGGTGCCGAGCGTCTTACCTTTCTGTTGCTTCTTAGAGACAGCGTATGTACATATGAGTATACTTTCCCGTGCTCTGACAATGATATGGTGCAACAGCACTTGGTTTTTATCAACCTTTGTACCTGATGAATAAGCAGGAGCTTAAAAAAAAATGAAACTAGAACATCTTTAGCAAAAGATTGACTAGGTTGAGCAATTTCTTATAATGGGCTTAGATTTAATTAGATCTGCAGCCAATAGGAAAGTCTAATAGTAATATACTTAGGTATCAAGTTCCAGGTTACACAGGAAGCACTAAGGTAAAATGCCACGGGGAATTTACAAGCGAGCGAGGTTATGTTCAGTTAAAGAAAGATTTTTTTTTAACGTGATCCAACCATCAAATGAATAAAATTTCATTATCTTTAAAGAATTTCAGGCATTTGGAGACATCTGTTATATGGGAGGTATTTTGTGAAGAAAATCTGACAGAAAATGATACCGTCATTTGAGAGCATGTCTATAAACACATTCTCGAAGGGATTATATTGATATATACACAGTATGGCGAGGAAATTTTTATTGTATTGGTACTTACTCTGTAAGCCTCATTCTCTCCAATGCATAGCAGGAAACTACAGAAAGGTTTAGGTTGCTGTCCTTCTCCATTGATCTCAAATACTTGGCTAAGCAGGAAGCATTTTACTTCACTAGTTCTTTGTGATGTTTTCGCTACTTTGCTTTTTGCTTAGTATCACAGAACATTCTGCATGTTTTCCAAGCCTCAGCCTTGGTTCAGTTTCCCCATAGTCTTCAAAAGTTATAAATTATCCTTATATGATTGCTATTGTTAATGTTTCCATTACCTATTAGAAAAGCAGTTTCACCTTCTGTGAAAGTAGGCTACCGGAGGGGATGGATCTCTGATAAATCAGTGATTTCTGCTATTAGGGACATACTGGATAAGTTTGAGGGATCTTGCTCCATGTTCATATCCTATAAGAAAAAGAGACTTGCCTCAGGTAAGGAGGCTGCTCAGTAACATAGCCACACCCACATTAAATCAGTGGGACTGAAAAAGTAGACGTTCTTTCCTTATTCTGCCGTACATACTTGCAGTTCTCTGAAGAGAATTCAGTGCAGTTTGGAGACAGCACTGTCTTCAGCAGCAGCAACTCATTCTGCATGCTGTTTTGGAACATGGGAGGAACGTAGCAAGTAGTGTTCTTCTTTTCCTCCCGAAACACTCCAATATTTCCAGAAAAAGGCACTATTTGTATTTAAAGGTAAGCTCCCTGTAACTGACTGAGAGCCTCTCCAGAACAGTTACATCTAGTGTGGCGATGTATTCCAGGTATCAGCAACCTTGTCATTTTCTTGCATCCTTCCTTGCCAATTCTGTTTTCATTAGTGCCTCCTGTTGGGCTTGATTTGCTGCTGAGACCTAGCAACAATTTTCATAGGCATGAGGAGGCCCAGAGAAAGAAGCTTCTGTACAGTCGCAAGCAAACTAGTGTCGTAGCTTAAGAACATACTTCATGTAAGAAGTTACCCCTTTCCACCATGAAGAGGAACATAATAATCCAGTCATAGACGGATGGATTTACTGCAGGGGCCTCATTCTTTGGGCTGGTTTTGAACAAACCACCTTTACTCTCAGCAGTTTGTTCCATGTACCTTCATATTACAATTATCTAGCGTTTCTTGGGCAGTTCTACTGCACAACGAGGAGCATAGAACATCATCACTTCCGTTTCTTTCTTCACCATCAGGCTCCAAAGCATCTTTGCAATGCAGTTTGCCATACCGGTGGCTCAGCCACCTCGAATTCTTGGGCATTACAGATCTTTCCTGAAGCTGATTGAAAGGTTTGTTCCACTCGTGAATAATCACTGGAGGTAATGGAATGAGAAGGAGAGGCTGTGAGAGCTGGGATAGTTTAGCCTCTAGAAGAGAAGGCTCTTGAGGGTAATCTTATTAATGTGTATAAATACCTAATGGGAAGGAGTAAAAAGGCAGAGACAGACTGTTCTCAGTGGTGCTGATTGACAGGACGAGGCAATGGACACAAATGTTTTTTTTATTTTAAGGGTGGTCAAATATTGGAACAAATTGCCCAGACAGGGTATGAAGGCTCCTGACTTGGAGATTCTTAAAATAAGCTTCCTGGACAAGGCTCTGACAAAACTGCTCTAGCTGATCCTACTTTGAGCAGCGGGGTTGGAGTAGACGACCTCCAGAGGTCTCTTCCAACCTCAACTGTACTGTGCTTCTATGAAATATTAATCATTCCCTTATTGTGAAAGTACTCTTTTGCAATTCTATTATTTTGCACCATCTTTTGAGCCTGAGGGTGTTTTTGTTTGTAATTGTTGATCTGATAATATCAGTCATATACTTTGCAATTTTTAACATCTTGCAACTCAGGAGGCGTTGGTGAAAAAAGGAAGAAAAATAAACAAATCTGGAAGGAAGGTGTCCAACTAATTTTGTCATTTCTAATAATAGAGGTGACTTTAGAAACAGGCAAACAGTCTAAATAATCCTTCCTGAACTGTAAAGGGAGGGCTTTTTGAGGAAGAAGGTATACTCTTCAGCTTCTGCTCAGTTTTTATTCATTTCCTTTATCTTCTCTTCAGCTATGTTCTGAAATTATGAAACTCTCTAGCTTTCATGAATGTCATAGAAATTCGTAGGAATGTCACAGAAATTCACATGAATTAGACTCTACACGAAGCACTGGAAAGAACTCTTTATGCGTTCCTTGATTCTGCTAATATGTTTGCCTGTACAATGCTACAGCTGTGCATTGGTAGAAAATTTTTTGTTGGTTACAGTCTCTTGATTCTTCTAATGGGATTACAATCATGAATCAGGACAGTAATGAACTAGTAATTCTGTCATGAATGAGAAGCTCCACACTGCCCAAGTATCATAAGCTGCTCCCCATTGTTAAGTAATCCAACGATTCATTGTTAGAAGAAGGCCTTTTACTCATCACTGTCCAGCACCAGTGAGTACTGCTGTCTTTATAATATGTTTTCTTTATGTGCATTCACAAATCATATTCCAGCTTCTTTATTTCAGAATTCATTGACTGAGAAAAACTCAGAGGGAAGAGTCCCCTTCAGTTCCGGGGACTATCCTTGCAGATAGGGTTGGGGGTATTGGGAAGTATAAAATGAGTACTGTGAGGGCAAAGAAGTCTTCATTTGCTGTACCTCGTGATGAGAATGTTTATGTAGCTAATACAGCCCCAGGAAGATCAGATACAAGAAGATAACTCCTCTTTGGAGAGTCTGCTTAGTTTTGTGCTAGGGGATCATTTCAGGGAGATCGAAGCCAGATTGCAAACCAGAGTTTGAAATGCGTGCTTAAAATAAACATCAATTAGTAAAAGTTACAAACGTATGCTATTTTTTACAGCAAAGAAAAATTAATTCAAGCTGTGGAAGATGATATTGAATGTCAAAAAAAAGTAGCAGATGACATAATAAAAGACATGTCTCAGGAAAATCAGATGAAATATATGGAGATGAAGGCTGCAAATGAAAAACTCTGCCAGGTTAGTTTGTTTCATATTACATATCTAAAATCTTTCTGAATCCAAGTCTGTAAGTTCCAGATACAATTTAACTATTAAAGAACTTGAGAACTGAGTAATATAACAGAAAAGCTTGCTGGTATCTTAAGTGCCTGATAAATTGTAGGAGTGCCTGAAAAATAAATTATATATTGTAGGAGTTCCTGAAAAATGAATCTAGCAACTAACAAAAAAAACATACTATTTATTTCTTATTTAAAAAAATGATGTTCATCATTTTCTTCCTTTCAGATTTGGAGATTGACACACATGTAGCTTTTAAGAACCTGTGTAGTCCTTAGATATTTAGGCAAATGTGTAAAAAAATATGCAAAAGGGAGAAACAGTCCTAGCTTTTTTTTACTTCACTCTAAGTAAAGATATTTCCTCCTGTGAAGAAAAATGAATCTGAGTTTTGTTGTTTGTTGTTGTTATTGTCTATCTGTATGAACAGGAAAAGTAAACTGGGCTTTTTAAAATTCACGTGACTTCACTGATATCATTATTAACAAAAGAAATAAGATCTCTAGGATAGGAATAACCTCATCTAACTTCAGACATACATTCTTAGTAAGACTCCCTGTTATAGTCAGTATAAAGACATAAGCATCTTCTGAGGTGAATGCTTCCCACCTGGATCACTATCCAAGGGCTAGCTATCTCTTTAATGACTATAAATAAATTGTGGCGGCTAGCTCAGATTTGAGAGTCTGACTTCAAAGATCTAAAGTGGAAATGATCAATTCCACTCTTAATACTACTTTTAAAAAATATGATGCAAAAAAAGTACAAACAATTTTTGATTATAGCCTAACTACAAATAACAATAATAAGTTGTTTATTGAAAAAATTGGATGCTAAAAGTAAGTAGATTTCATACCTGAGCTATTTGGAGAAGCTGGACGTAATGCAGTCATTTGTATTTTTAAAAAGATCAATGAGATGTTTTAAATGCTAAGTTGTCAAACAAGAAAAGTAAATCTCACCACATAGTAATTCTTAGCTAAATTTTGCATTTTTTCCTCTTTAGGAATTGGTTGTTCAACAGCAGGAGCTGGATGCGCTGAATGTAAAGGAGGAGTCTCTAAGAGCTGTATGTGTGACAACAACCAGTCATCATACCAATTTTTCCTGATCTCTAATGTCAAAAACAATAAAACGTGCAGTAGAAAAAAAATCTTTTTCAGATACTGTAGGATCATGCTGTAGAATATAGTGGCAAAGGTGCTGCTCATATTTTCCACGAACAGTTTATAATCAGTTGAGTGTAGAAGTTATTTTTGCTAGATGTCAGGTACAAAAGTTTGATGCAATGAAGTTTCCTAGTTTTAGTTACTCATGTGATTGTTAAATGTTCCTTTGGCATTTGACTTAATAGCAGTTATTCTCTGAAGATAAACATGAAATTATCATTCACAGCTTTCCTGAGGAGTTGTGAGACCTAATTTCTCTGTATGATTTCAGCTTTTTAGTATGTGTGAGAAGGATTTTACTGTTCCATGTTCCATTTGAAAAGGAACTGACATTTCAAACACAAAGTGGTACCTGACTGAGAAATTTTTTCTGTTACAGACATGCATAAACCCAAGTTTCTAACATGCTGCCGCTTTGCTAGAATGGGAGAAAATTTCTTGTATTGAGTCTCTTAGGCAAAAGTGGATCCATGAGCTGAAACGTACAGTCATGTACATCTTAAGAAAGCATTTTTTCTGAATACTAGTATATACTTTTTGTAGTCCTTTTGAATATTGGGTGATCTGCTAGAAATGGTGAAGAAAATCTACTCAGAAAATTGGCTTGAGGATGGATTTGTAAAGCTGAATGGGAATGAATGGAATATGCCATTCCAGAAAAGGCAGTAGTGAGGTTATAGAGAATAAGGATGTTACTTTATACCGGGTTTTTTGTACTGTTTGTAACAAATAAGCTTTTTTCAATATATAGATAAATGTTGCTCAACTAAAGCATAATTTCTGCAGTATTCTTGCCAAGTGGAAACTGCAGCTGAACACGTGTTTACTTTTCCCAACAGGAAATAGCACACTCCCAGGTGAAGCAGGAGGCTGTGAAGTTGTATGAAAAGCTCCATGAGCTTGAGGAACATCGAAATCAAATGATTACTGAGGACAAGAACATGGGTTCTCCACAGGAAGAAAGAGAGAGATTGCTAAAGCAGGCAAGAACCTGAAATGATTTCTTTTAAAGCTTTCTGTGTTATGCTGTTATAAGGGATGGTAATATTTGAAAATATTTATTTTTCAATCTTGCCCTTAATGGTTCTCTCAGATGCACAAATCAGTTGAAATTGACTACGGTTAATGGATTCACTGGAAGGGATATTTCTGGTTGAGCCAAAACAAAATTGGCAGTAAGCTTCTCAATTAGGTGACCTATTCCAATTTATCAGTCATGTTGGAATAGGAAAATTAGATTGATCTGGTTTAACAGTAACATAAGCCCAGATAGTGTCCTTTGGGGATAGTGAGCAGATGTACTAATTCAGGAGTAATATTGTTTGTTTGTGTGGGCCTATACCGTGTTGCCCAACAACCAGTATATACTATGCAGGTTGTTGGACTGAAAACACTAATTACTGTGTTCAAGTTTTAAATACGTATTGAGAAAGAAGGAGAGCATTTGGAGGAGACAGCACTATTAAATATCACTTCTCTTCAGTGAAGAACTGTTGCAGAGCAATGTGAAAGCAAGTTTGTAATTTTCTATGATAAGTTTCTATTCCCTGTATTGATTTGTAAATTTTATTTCATATGTTAAGAAAGTTATACATTTTTATAGGTTAAAGAAGATAATCAAGAAATAGCAAGCATGGAAAGACAGTGAGTACTGCTATTGTGTTGTTGCTGCAAATTACATTTAGCTCCTAAAGACAGGTGAATTCCATCACATGTTTCTATGGACATTTAAAGTATCATCACATTTTCCAGCCTCATCTGATGCTAATCCTCCACAGAAAACAGAATATATCCTTCTATTTCAGCCACACCCATTCAAACACCAATAATTACCAGCTTTGCTTAGTAATGTAGGTAGATTTGTGCCGACATACTGAACCAAAAATGTGAAAGTGTGAAGTTACAGTATGCATATTCCATTGTGCCAGCCCTTTTGTGGGAAGCGCAACCTCTGATTAAAGGATACTGGCTAGCAACTGGAAAGTGATAATATCTTAATTTGCCATAGCAGTCTTCTCAGTGAATAACTAGAATACTGAGGTAATAATTTAGACCTGGCAGGAGTATTTAAATAATTTCTAATGTGATAGACCATTTTTATGTCATTCCTAAATAGCTCATTAATTTCTAGATAAAATATCTGTAAGAGTTTTATCAGGTCTATTAGACTTTATAAACTCTGATGGTTGGAGAATCATTTTAAATGTAGCTAGTGTGCTCAGCTGGGATGTTTTCATTTTAGATTGTTTTCAGAAAGCATTTCCAAAATTCTGGAAACTGCATATATATAAATATTTGATATGTGTTATCCAATCTGGATGAACATGCATAAGTCAAAGTGGTCTGTAATACGTAGTTTCAAGTAAAATAGCAGTCAGAAGATAAGTAACTAAATTAAGAATGAAGTTTCCTCCTGAAGTTTTTTCATTTTTATTATCTTTTATTATTTCTATGTATACATTTTAATCCAGACCACTATGTTGCTTTGAAACAATAATTTCTGGTTTATTATGGCAGTAAGGCAAAATACATTGGTAAACCACTGGAGCACACTTCATTGTTATGAGGGTTACAAGGCCAGACAAGTCAAGAAAAATTGATTTTACTGTGTTTTGAGAAAATTATTTTTTCACAGATTAAAGTGCATTTTAAGTGTTTTTCTAACTTTGGAAAACAAGGCCTTCTGTCTTATGTACCCCAAACCAAAAATTAAAAACAGTAGTGTTCCTTCAACTCCGCTGTTTGTTTTAAAAGACCACTAGAAATGAATAATTGTTCGGATGGATTGTTGAGATCTGCATAATAGGAGACCTCCTATTCTTAGGAACATGCCCTAAGAAGATAAATTGTTAATAGTATTGACATAAACTTCCTTAAGGTAGAAAAACACATTCACGCGTAAGAGCTGTTCGTCTGCGACATCCATAAATGTGAACTTACCTTACACTGCACTCACATTTTGGAGTGTTTAGTTGTTCTATTTTGTCACAATCTAATGAAGTTACTTACTAAAAATTCAATTATAAAGAGCAGCTGAGTATTCCTTCCTGATTCATGGGTACCACATCTTTCTGACAATTGCCAGAAGCTCTGGTTAATGTCATAATGAACAGTGCTATATTACAAGGGGGATAGAGTAATACAATGTTTATATGATTTTAAATCTTCTGATTTTTCCATCTTTACAGAAAAAAACAGATAATTTCTGAAATCTTCTAGAAAAAAATTTTGCACTCTTTTAAACAATATCTCCAACTGTGATCATTTGATTATTTTTAACTGCATTGACATCTTTTGATTGGCTAATAGGTTGCTTAAAAGGATTCTTGATAAGAAACAATAACAGATAATTGTATTTTAGAGTTTACCAAAAAATTTTTTTCAGGTAATTTCATTTCTCATTTGATTGATTATGCAACATAGTGTTCCACTGGGAAATTTCTTAACTAGTTTTAGTGACTATATGGGTAATTTTACTGAAAAACAGTTTCTTGTTAATAGTTTGCTGATTATATTGTACTTCTGCAAAGCTGTGTAAGAACCAGAAGAGGGACCAATTGAGTAAGATAAGAGCAAATACTGATGATTCATAAAGGAAATGTTTTTTAGTAAAAGAGCAGCAGTAGTTATATTTAGTACGTATAGGAACTAAAGTGACTGGTACTTTACATATAACAGTTAATAACAGTAATCTTCCTAATATTTTATTATTGGTAAAATTAGGCTTGCTATTTTTATTCTGAACCTTCTCTTCGTTGCTCTCGAAAAATATAAATATTTTACAACTCTTTTTAACTTCAGTTTTCATTTTCTTTTATTAGGCTGACAGAAGTAAAAGAAAAGACAAACCATTTCAGAAAAGTCATTCAACGCCTTGATATGGATCTGGAGGATCATCAAGGTAATATCAGTAGCTTTCTAGCAGATGACATAAAACAGATAGGAAAAAAACACTCTCTCTTTGGATGTGAGAACTGCAAGTACCCATACTCAGATTTGAGTTTCATCGGATTTGTACTAATTAAGAAAAATAATGTACAAATACTACAGCTGTCTAGTTTTCTGTCCCAGTTTTATTTTCAGAACTCTTTGAGAAATAAAAGTCCTTCTTACTGCAGAATTGTAGAACCAACTCAGCTTTTAAAAAAGCTTTTATTTATTTTATCCTTTATATGATCTGAAATATTATCAGTGAATGTGGAATTGGGAATGTTTACTGATAATAATAATTAAAGAAGACAAAATTCAATTCTTTTATCATCTTTCTTTGAAATTTCTTGTGTTAATCTTTGCCAGGAGTTTTGGGAGCAGCCTAGAAATGGAATGAGCTTGGAAACTTTTCTCCAGCAAATATCTGCTGTAGTATGTTAGACTAGGTTAGGATTGGATTTGTTCTATTAGTGGAAATTACTACTTTGGAGAAAATAGATTAGATTAAGTATTAGCCCTCAACAGTTGTGGAAGACTCTGTTTAAAATGAAAGTCAATCCCAAGAGAAACCTTCTAGAGATAAGAAATTCTCTTTAGACAAGAGTTATATAAATATGCATATATTCTGGAAAACTCTGTAACAAATTACTTAAATTTTATAGCACCAATATACTAATGTGTTTGTGACCTTTTGCTTTCTACCTTTTCCTTTCATGTGAGACACAGCGTAAAATATAACTGTGAATTTCTTCAAAGTGGACAAATATTTTTGAAATTGACCTTAAACAAATGCTTGATATTTTTATTTCTCTTCTTGTTGCTTAAATTACAATCTATTCCGTGTTTCTTCAGATATGTCATTATTTTTTTGCAAATAATTTATTAAAGCTGTTTTGCTAGCTCTCTTGTTTCCAGATAATATAATTTCCAACTCTACTATTTTACTTTTATTTTTCTTTTTCATTTGGTGTGCAACATTTTTTTGTATCTTTGGAGAAATGCAGAAGGTAAGAAATGAGTTGCCTTTTGTAGTTTAAACTTAGGTTTAGATACGCAGGCATTTGTTACTTACATCTTCCTTACATCTGTGCTGCTGTCACCATTTTAGAAAAAGATCTCTATTGAAAAGGAGTGTTTGAAGTACATGCAGAGGAACAGCACGTACTTTCTGTCAACAAGTGAGGAACAGTCGGGATATGCAGAAAAAGCCACCCCATAAACTTACCTAGAAGTCTGCATTGAACCGGAGTTTGTTTGTCACTGTGGTGTAGGAGAAATAGTTTTTAGGGCACATCTATTATGAACTGCAAATAGATCCAGCTCATAAACAGGTTCCCTCTGGCCTTTTACTTTTGCAATAAAAGAAATAGAGCATAATCAAATGCCTTTTTTTATGCCTACAAAAGTTGCAATATGTTGGAGCGTGAGAACATCTTTCTGTGTTTGACTGAACTGCTGTTGAAGTGTTCATACGAACCATTAGTTATAGCGATCTGAATTTTCTTTTATCCGTGTTTATGCAGAGTGAATGCAGTGCCTACAACACTTAACATATTTGTGGAATCTAATTAACATGCCTAACTTGATTGTGTACCTGAGTGCTTTCTGTAGCAATATAAAGAATAACAGAATCATGTATAAAGACCTTTCTCAAATCAGTAGCAGAAATAATATTTCTTTTATGCGGAGGAACACTTCTGGTCCTCTGTCCTCTTCTTTGTGAGTCTTTTGAATTGACATGGTTCTTAACAAGAAAGGATGGCCAACCCGTATTTCTGAGGTGAAAGCAGGTCTTATGCTCAATTAAATAATACAATCAGCAATTGGGCCTGTCCTGTGTGAATCTGTGACCAAGCTGAAGTCCAGTCTGGGAGGAAGCAAGTTAGCCAGGGCTACAGAGTTTGACCTCGCTAGATTGTCTGTCCCACAGTGGAACAACAGGACTTCTGATGAGCTATTGTCATTTCTCCTTTGCGAACCAATACCTCTTCCTAACTCTGTATTGTATATAATAATTGTCCTGTGATTCTCAATTTCTGAAGACTGTTGTACACAGTTCATATATCAGATATGTCTCTCTGTTAAAGAGCTGCTTAAGTGAGATTTTTAGTGGGACCTGTCCTAAGGGCAGAAGTGAAGTAGTGCTATCCTGGAGAATTATGAAAACAAGCACTGATTTTTCACGCTGATTGAAACATAGGAGAAATAATGTATACCAAATTCCCAAATTCCCATTGAATTTTTCAATTACTTTCTGACAAACAGTTGATATAATATACAAGGAATAAAGGAGGTATCTGTAAAGATTAGCTTTTGGCACTGAAAGCTAAGCTCCCAACACTCCCTCATTCGTGAATGAACAAAAAATATATGAGAGGGCCATTCATACTTCTGCTTTAACTCAGTATCTCAGGGAGTCCTCAAGATTACAGCTATCCTCCCTCCTCTACTATCAACTTACTTCTGGCTCAGTATTTAAACTACATATCACAAAGCATTCACAACATTTCAGCCTCAAAAATTTTGTAGTTAAATTGGACAAAAATTACAACTAATCAATTTTTTGAATATTTCAATATGAATACTTCAGTATTTGGAACAGAAATATCAAAAATAAACAGATCATAAATAGAAACAATTTTTTTTAGTTTTCACTTACAAAAATCTGAAGACGTAAATAACTCACCAAGTTATTGTATGTGATTCATGTATTAGAAGATACTTTTAAATGGTTAGTCAAAATGGAAATGCACTTACGGTGAAATAGACTTAACGCTTTAAAAATTACATGAACGGTTAAAATATTGGTAAAATAATTTCAAAGAGCACTGCTCTATAAAGACATTTTAAAGGTTGCAGTCTTTAATTTAAATAGCTATTTCCTTAAACACCTGCCAGAGCATGTAGCTCCCTCTTTCACAACTCACTATAATTAGACTTTTTAAGAGCAGAACAGATTTTTGAGTTGTAAGTATTGAAGACCTGCCTTACAAAATGAAAGGGAGCAAGGAACAGAACCACAGCTGCAAGGAAGCTGGAGCAAAATGACAGTCCCCTCAGGCCCCTTGACATTCTTATTGTTTGTATGTACTAGATAAAAAGGAAAGCAGGAGGATGTAGAAATAAAGAGACATGGAGAGAATATGCTTACTCTTTTATACACACTTTATTCTTTTTCTTTGTATTCCTTAAAGTTAAAAGCATGTGAAATTTAATCAATGACCAAGACGCGAACAATTAAAAAAGAGATGTTCACAACTTAAGATTACTGCATTTAAAGATGGACTGAATTGTATGCTGTATGGTATTCATTACTCCTAATACCACTGTAAAGAATGTTCTGGAGATCTGCTCTTCAGCATAAGTGCAGAAAGCTTTCTTTGCCTTCTATTTTTTTATTCCAGTGCTTGTTCAGTTTTCCAGCTTATTTCTGTGTGAATGTCACATTATTGCTTACTAGCTGCATATCCTTATAAAGTCCATTAAACTATGAAATAGTGCTGTTGAAATGGTCCACGTGTTGAACAGAACTGCAGAAAGTTTTAACTAACCATGGTGCCCAAATACGTGAATGCACTCTTCCTATATGGCTGTAATCACTTGACTTCAGAAAAATTCTGCCAGCTTTCTTTGTCCAAACAGTAAAATCCAATGATGCCCTGTTTGTGAACGCTATTACAACAGTATTTATCCTCCACTTATTTGTCAAAAATCCTGACCTCTTAAAGTTCTAAAATTACATTGAAGCTGATTTGTTAAGATAATTACCTTTTTTATATAAAAGTGTGACTTACAGTTAATTGAAATGACTATGGTAAATGACATGGAGTGCATCCTGTAGTTTGTAGGCGTGCAGAATTTGTAGATTTAAACTGACATTTTGTCAGGAATCTAGGACTAAGTCAATATCAAGTCAGCTTGATGTTACACTTCTTGCAGGAGAGGAAAATTGGAAATACAAGGAACTGAAGAAGAGAGAAGAAAGCATGGACAGTAAGTTGTCTAATATACGTTAATTAAGCCTAATTCCACTAAGAATTCCACTTGGATAGTTAAATCTCAGTTAATTTAGAGGTGAAAAGAGCTGATCTATTGATCATAGTGTGGGGTTTCTGTGATCTGATTTAGAGCTATATCAGAACAATAACAGGTAATTGGTATTTTAAGACTTACAGGGTATTTACAGGTGTTTGGAGCACCTTTCATGGCTTTGCATTAAACATTAAGCTTTTTAGGAAAACAGTTGCATTTTATGAAAGCAATGCTGAAATTAATTTTGTAATCAATTTAAATAAAAGATAAATAGAACCAGCTAATCAGGTCTAGTAAAAGCAAAGCTTTAAAATGAACAAGCATAGAGACCGCATAATGCTTTAAAATTAAAGTTGCTGATATTTACTTATTAAAGATGAGTGCTACTAAAGCTCCCTTCCCTATGAAAAGGTTTTTGTAGAGGTCTCAGCAGCAGCTAACACAGGACAAAAACAGAACTGTTTTTAAAAAATATCTTATTGCTAGTGCACTGTAATAGGAAGCTTACAACACTCAGCAAAAGGAGAAAATGATCAATAAATAGTGCCAAGAGCGCCCAAATATATAACACCTTTTTGTGAGTGTTCACTAAAAATATTGACTGTAATTTAGTGGCTAACACAGTAGCAAAAATAAAGCCTTAGCTGGGAGTAACAAAGGATGAATGACAGTACTTAGAGACGTTGTATTTTCAAATTACCTGATTTCCTAAACTTCATCAGAGAGCACTGATGCAGTTCCAGTGCTGTTTGAGGTTATCCCTGAGGGATTTGGGAGAATATGCAAGGATCTTGAAAATGGGAAAAGAAGAACCAGAGAATTATAGACCAATCTATAGACCATACTATAGCTTAGTATGAATTTCCAGAAAGATTCTGGAAGAAGTATTCAAACAAAAAAATTATAAACCTTATAGAAACATGAAGATGAGGAAAGCTACCATTGATTTGTCAAGAACAAGCAGCTAATTTCCTTCTGTGACAGAAAAATAATATAGAATAAGGAGAAGCAGCAGATGACATGTATGCTGACATGAGTATATCTTCTGCTGCCGTCTCACGTGAAGTTGTTAGAAGCAAGCGAGGGAAACATGGTCCGTTATTAAGCATTTCATGGAAAAATCAATAATTATAAAGGATACACTGTCAAAATAAAAGGATGTGTTGAATGGAGTGTTGCAGTCTATGTGGAGTATTTAGGTTAGTAAATATTTTTATTAACCTATTGGATGATGGAAGAGAGAGTGTGCTTCTGTGTATATGAGCCATATTCCAGGAGGAGACCCAGCAGGTGAGAGATGATGGTAATTTATAGCCATGGGTGGAATCTTCATGGACCTCTAACATTTGTGATGTGTCCAGCATCTTCTTCAGTATATGTATCACCAGAAATTCAGTTCAGGATGCTTAGGAGACAAATGCAGAGTGCATAACACCAGTACAGCTGCCTTGTGGGACACATACTAGAATGAATGTAAAAGTAAAGTGATGAGAGAAAAGAAGCAAAGGGAAATTGTATGGTAAGAAAGAGGTGATACAAGGTGATTATCAATCTCGGAACCCAAGCGGTGATTTAGTCCAAGCTATTAGAGGTAGTGAAGTTATGTTTCCTTTATTTAGTAGCCCAGTTTGGTAGTTTTCAGAAGAATGAAGACCAGCAGCTGCTGGGACAAGCATTCAGAAGGAGTATTAGAAATGATGATGACGGTGATGAAGCTCTTTGCTTTCCCATTGAACGGCAACTCCTCAACTAAACAATATCCAAGAGGGTGCCCACCTCATTTCATTAATCAGTCAAATATATATCTCTGGAAAATTTTTCGTGTCTGTCATTCCAACCCATAACTTGACAAGTTTCAAGGTCTCTGCCACCAGTCTTTTAAATAAACTATTCATCTGGCAGTCTGTATGAAATTGTATAAGTTACCAATTTAATACAGTTTTAGGTAAGAACCACCAGGGCTTGTGCTGTGCCCGTATAAACAGCAGCCTCCTTTATCTTGTTTGTGGATCTCTAGATTTTCTTGAGACTTTTGAAGAGGTGAAGACCCAGGAACTGGAAAGAAAGGCCCAAACAGAAGCCAATATTATTGCACTCTTGGAGCACTCAAGTAGGGTAAGTGCATTTCCTTCCTGCTGTGGTCAATTAGGAATTTAGAACCACAGAACAGGGAACTGAAGCGATAAGCAGGAAGATGGTGTTTACGTATTATCTAGTATGTATTTACATAATAAACTTTAACAAGATTAAAGAGATACCACGTACTGTTGTAAGGAAAAAAAGGATTTATTTAATTTCTCGTTATTTCTCAGGATTTTGAAAATTAGATGACAACAATAAAGGAAATGCCTGTATCATTACTGTAACTCATTGTCATTGCGGTAATGAACAGCATTACAGTCATGCTAAAACAATTCAGGGTACTGCAAATGAAACTATTGTTTTTGCAATATTTTGCTTATACAAAATCTCATTTAATGGGTATTCTGTAACCTCTATTAGGTAACTGATAGTATTCCACTTATCCTCCTGATCTATTAAAATTATGCCTGGAGTATGCTCCGGTGTAATATTTAACATAAATACTTTAAATTTTATTTGCATTTGCAGTCTTTGCCGTTTTTTGCCCTTACAAAATATTTTCCCTTGTAACATTTTTAGTTCCTCTTAATTTATTTTTTTTTAGCATAAAAATGTTTCAACAGCGCAATGTTTTGACTGAATAATCATTTTAAGGGTCTCCTGCACTATTTTAGTATGACGTACTATAAGATGTATCTTACATAATGACACAGAATCACACAGATTAGTTGAGGTTGGATGGCACCTGTGGAGATTATCTAGTCCTCCCTGCACAAGCAGGGTCAGGTACAGCAGGTTACCCAAGACTGTGTCCAGGCAGTTTTGGAATATCCCCAAGGGTAGAGGCTCCACAGTCTATCTGAGAAGTGTTTGATCACTTTCACAGCAAAGAAGTGTTTTTTCCATATTTAGATGGAATTTCCCGTGTTTCAGTTTGTGCCCACTGCCACTCATCCTGTCACTGGGCACCACCAAGAAGATTCTGACCCCATCCTCTTGATACCCTCCTATCACACATTTATAAACGTTTGTACAGTCTTCTCAGAGCTTGCTCTTTTCCAAGTTGAACAGTCTCAGCTCTCTCAGCCTCTCCTCATATGACGCACGCTCCAGTCCCTTAATCATCTCTGTGGCCCTTTGCTGGACTTGCTCCAATATGTCCATGTCTTTCCTCTACTGAGGAGCCTAGAATTGGACACAGCACTCCAGGTGACACTTGCTTTAAATGAGATGGGTATGGCGACAGAGTTTGTCCTTATCTTAATTTGTTTGTCTTCACTGGCATGTCAGTATATCTTTTATCAAATTAAATTTAAATCATTTCAGACTATTGACAGTATTTTCAATCTTTGTAGTAGAAGAGCCAAATAATAGATAATGTAGTAGGAGAGTTTCTTTCTTGCTTATCGGTTAGCATTCATAGTTTTCAAAAATACAAAACGTTTCATTATTGTTATTGGTAACATACAGAATGTGAATCGAATGAAACAAATTTCATCTGTTACCAATCAAGAACTGAAGATTATGCAGGAAGACCTCTCTTTCAAATCAACTGAAATGCAGAAATCACAGAGCACTGCTAAGAATCTGAGTACAGGTGAGATGAGCAATGAATTTTCAAATTAATTCCTTTAAAAATCTTAGATTACCCGAGTTGTTATAAGAAAATATAATGTCGGTGATCTCCGAACATTAAAATAGAGTGACAAGTTGACCATTTGAAACTATTATGAATAACAAATTATGTATATTCCTGATAAGTATATTTCCCTTACTATTATGAGTAAATGATTAGGTTACTTGCACAGATATGTTATATAAGTATATTTTAACACAGACGTGTAATGTTCACTGAGCTAGAAGTTTGATTTTATTAGTATTCACTTCAAAGTAAAAGTTATTCACAGTTTTAAAATAACGTTTAATAAACAGAATAATAATAAACAGCTGTATAGTTAAGTAACCGTATATATATTTGTAAGTGTAGTTCTTAGTATCATTTACAGTTTGTGCTTTTCTAAAAGGGTGCGTGCCGTGTGACAGTAGCTGACAACTACAATGTGAATAGTCCTAAGGATTAAATTCTCAGTCTTGATTCTGCAAAGCAAATATCCATGTTAAATTCGTTTTGCGAATGCTCAAACACTTAATTTTTAAGTCTAAGAGTTTGCAGTTTCTTGCCTGTAATTCTAAAAAGCAGACAATATTTTTCTTTCATTCCGTAACAGGTATCTATTTAGTTTTTCAGTTGCACTGTTTATAATGCAATTGTTCGCATAATTCTAAACCTTTGCCAGTATCATTATTGGTTCAGCAAGCTTTTCCTTGTTTATTTGACTGAAAGGAAGGGGGAGGAACGAAGGACCATAAATCTTCTTGTTAGAATACTGTTATGTGCTGTACTTGGTAGTAATTTTCAAAATAGAAGCCTATGGTGTGACTTTAAAATAGTTATGTGCAAATAAGCAGTTGTTACGCACAAAATGCTACTGAAATTAATTGTTCTGTTGTGCGGTTGTGCACAGTAAGTTGTGCACTTACTTGTTTGCAAATGTGCATTTTGCAGTTGTAAATTAGTATAAAAAGCTAGGTCTTGCATTACAAGTTCAAATGTGATTTTTTTGTTCTTCGGTATGAGCATCAGTCCTTACTATTTTACAGTAGAAGAATATACTGGAAGCACATTGCAGTATAGAGACATTATTGAAAGATGTAGCTCTTTCTTGGCAAGGGGAGAGGAAGAACTTAAGCTATATAATTTTCCGCAGATAATTTAAGTGATTCGTAAGTAAAATTCCTAAAGCTAGGAGTCACAGGTACTGTAGTAAACAACTTTAGATTTTTTTAAAAATACAGCAAATATTCAGTTTCCACAGTTGAAGCACTTCCTAACTCTTGAATTATAGCACAGTCATCTTCAGGATTCTTTTATTGTGATTAAAATCTGGATTTCCGTATTTTCTTGCTGTAATAATGTATAAAAAGTGGAGTCCTTTAAAGAAAAACAGCAAAAAAGAAAAGGAAACTATGAAGAGTAAACAGAAGTGCTGATGGCATAATTTCCCAAAAACATTTCCCTGGGTCACAGCAGTTTTGTCTCAGAGTTTGCTACTGAGTATACACTGCCTGCTAGATGCTGCAACCTCGTGGCATATCAGAAGGAACTGGGCTGCATCCTCTTCCTGTCTCTTCCCCTAGAGAAGTTTTGAATTTATTTGTTTATTCATTTCTTTTTCAATGAAGCTATTGCTGAAGGGGTGAAGGTAAAATTCACCCTCTCCAGTTTCTTCCCTTTTCTCTAGAAAGCGTGACTGTATAGCTCATTTCTGTCTCGCTACAGTTTTTATCAGTATGTGGATAGAAGAGTCAAAGAAGCTGTTTTGTTCAGAGAATCTATTCCTTTTGGCTTACATATTATTTTAAAATAACAATAATATTAATGTTAGAATAACAATAATATTAAAAGCAAAAACACTGTGATAAGGTGTAAATCTTTAAGAAAATTGAAAGTTGTTTTTGCAGCCATTTCCCTCTGATTTTTTTTTTAATTTTAGAATTTTATTATTCATTGCTTTTATTGCTAAAGACCTAATTTATCAAGGTTCTTGATCATTCTCTTCAAATGGCGGTGCTCTAGGAACAAAAGAAGTAGAGCCCAGGTCTGTTCAGTCCTGTTCTAGGATCTGGCATTGACAAATTTCAGCCACTTCAGAGTGAAATTATGGGTGGTTAGAAAATACTCAGATAACAAGAAAAGTGTCGTCTTAAGCCATTTATGAACAAAGGCAGCCTAAATATTGAATCACAGAAAAGTAATACAGTTCCAAACCTTATATTTTTAAATGCTTCCTTTTACAGATATGGAAATTTGTAGTGTCTATGTAAATGCTCTTTACACATGCAGACCCTTTAAGTCTTAACCTTAATGGAAATTCGTTCCTCAGAATAAGTACATATTGTACAAAAAACATTTGCTTTTTTTTTTTTTTTTGAGATTCCTAAAGACACCACTAAAACACTCTATAATAAGTCAAAAATGTTAGTAAATACCAATATTTCATTCTCAAAAATGAGTATGTAGCATAAATACACAAGAGAAATAAGTACCAAATAGGTACCAAAATGTTGTTATGATAGGGTCATGATCAGGTAGGATTTTCCCAAATAATAAACCATATCCACATTTTCTGGAAAGGTGAATTTCTCTCTGTCTCTGTGTCTCTGTCTGTCTCTCTGTCTCTCTCTCGCGCGTGCACCCACACACACATATCCACTCCCTTCTGCCTCAAAGGTCTCTACTGCCATGATTAACTCGGGGGACTGAGTGTGTGAGTATCATGTACAGTCTGTGCCCTGAGAGAAGTTCCTTTGTGTGATCTCATCATTTCCAATAGCCTACTTGTTACTTTAAAGTGTAGAAAGAAACCTCAGGAACCAAATCATGCGCTGGAAATGTGTTATTTGATTAATTGTTCTCACTTATATACAGCACTGAAACATAAGGCTATTTAGCCATGTGTTTAAACATTCAGGATCATGAAGAAAATAAAAAAATGAGACCTAGAGTTTGGAAAACCATCCACAGTTTTTTTTTTCCTTGTTTTTTCTTTTACATAGTCAATATTTAAAGAAAAATTCTCTATAAATTTACTCTCATAAAACCAAGACTTACCATAAAAAGTAACTGAGTAAAGAAATAAAAATAAACATGACATTAAAAATCTAACAAAAATAAATTTATTCCTAGTCTGCATTATTTCAATCAGCATTTTGTAAAGGATTGCTGCTGCTTTAAAACTTGAAATTGACTGACAGTATAAACAATCCCGACAATAGGAGTGTCACACTGTGGTGTATGAAATTACCGCATGTTTGCATTATTCTTCACTTACAGAGTATAATACAGTACTTGTAATACAGGTGTCTAACAGATGGGGAGGCTGTGAAGGAGATGAAGAGGTTCACTTCATTCACATTAACATTCCCACAGATGTCAAAGTTAAAACGAGATGCAGAAGCTGTTTATATTGCTTTTGTGCAGATAATCCCTTGTACATTGGGTAACATATTGTAACATAAAAAGTATTGATATTTAGAGTTTGTGTATCTTGTGATCTAGAGAGTCAAAGACTGCAGATGGATCTGCAGAAGATGGAACTCTTGGAAGGCAAGATGGTTGATGAACTGGCTTCTCTTAAAGACAAAATTGAACAAACTAAAAAGGACTTGGAAATCTATAATAATTTGCCTGCTCTGAAAGCAGCAGGAGAAGAGAAGAAAAAGGTAATAACAGGACTGAAACCTAGAATTATGCAGAAGATGTGGGTTTTGTGTGTTTTTCCAACACTTACTATAGGGGAATCCAGGTCTGTGTCTGGGAATCATGGCTGGTAACTGAAAACTGGCTTACGCATCAGTACACGTGAATCCAAATGCTTCTTTTTTGTATATATGACTTAATACCTGGGCACATGTGCCAGGCTATCAGTTGGGCACTTTAGTATAACTTCCTTCCACAGAATTTTCCACAAAATTTTGCTTTACTGACCCATCTGACCTTTTCTGCTGTAACTTAAACTACCAATAAGCTTGAATTGGGCAATATAAATCTAATCACAGAACCCAAACAAAAAGAAAAATCTGTCATGCGTATCCTTAATTTGCTCTAAGTCAAACTCCAGCTAAAGCACTTATTTGACATGTGATAAATTTCCCACAAACTCTTAACATCAGAGTTCACGCTTGTGTGATATAGTAAGGTCTGGGCTACAACTTTGCCATAACTATTGAATATTATCTTTGGGTTAGAGAAAGCACTGTTAGAGAAATGCTGTATGGGTTCTTTAGGTAAATGGTAGTGTTCAAAGAGGAAGAAAGAGTAGCATCTTGAGAGTGGTATTAGAATAATTTCTATTTAGCCTGCAGAAAATGGATGGACTCATCCGTTAATCTTTTTGTGTGTGTTTTTTTTTTGCCTAACTAGAAACTCCAGGATGACAAAATAAAATTGACAAAACGTAGTCGTGCTTTCAAGAAAATAATGGAATGCTTGAATACAGAGTATGAGACTCTAAAGAAACAGCTGCAAGAGAATGAGACTCATTCTCAGGTATTGCTCAAGACACGTTATGTCTTCAGTTGTTGTTGTCCTGGTTTCACTCTTCTCATGTGCATAAAGCATTGTGTGAACTGAATCAGTTAATTCCATCTGAGTGAGTTTTCAAAGTTATGTGGTGTGCATACACATCCAAATTTTCTGCATTCAAATCGAATATAATGTCAAGCCAAGCAATTTATATTTAGTTTTGAATTTCAAAATTGCTGAGTGCAGATCTTTTTGAGCTTAAAAATTGTGAAAACCGTTTAAGTGTTTGCATTACTTTTACACAGAACTAGTCCTCCTTTTCCCTTCAATCTTATTGGGATTGCTTGAGAAGTTTTCAGGACCAAGAAGGAAAGAAACTACTGGAAAAAAAGCTCACAATTAGTTTGATAAGATCACTTTTGCTTTTAAATTTGTGATAATAAGTTCCTGCTTTGCAACCTGTACTACAATTTCTTTTCTCCTTTTTCAATCCTTTCTCTCCCTATAGACCAATGAGTTTTAGGGTTCATTTGGGCTTTTTTAATCCCATTTAACTTTGGTGTATGAGTACATTTACATTTACAGTTCAAGAGTGAATCAGGAGGGTAGATGTTTATCGAGTCTAGAGCAGCATTGATTCTTCCAGTATAATAAATGGCTGTCATTTTGGCAACAGAACTTCCCAGTCAAATATTTAAGTATGTATGCGCAGAGGGAAACAGGTTAAACTTGAAATAAGCTGGACCAACAGAGGAATTGATTCATTTATTTGCTCTTCGTTTTTATTATTTGAGGTTATGGAGATCTTGGTCCCTTATCTCAGAAGCATTACTTTTTCTAGTTCAGTTGCAAGGTGAAGGTGATATTTGTACTTATTTAAGATAACTTGGTTCTGGAGTGAACTTTATGGATGAGAAGAGTAAGAGCAAGTGTGCATACTTCTGAATGAGATACATATTCGCTCATGTTATGCGAATTTTTGTGGAGTAACTGAGGTGATGATAGAAATCTCCAAAGACTCATGCCATAGTCTGTAAGTCTTCATGCAAGATCAGATTCTCGTTCATAGAGATTATGTAAATCAGACTCCCAATCAGTGTTAAGATATTTGCCTAATAATGCTAAAAGTTTCTACATAAAGGTAACTAACACGTTTATTCATTTCATTAAGCTGTGGCAATTCTATTTCAGTGTGTGCAAAAAAGGTTTTTTTTTTTCTTTGCTTTTTATGTAATCCTTTTAAAAGCTTAGCATGAATAAAACTATGGTCCTAAACCACCTAATTAGCTGACATGTCCCCAAGCATTTTGAAATGTAGAGAGAGTGCACATCCTAAGTTAGGTCTTAAATGATTGAAAACAATGATTTTACAGGCAATTAACTGTATGATGTGTGGCCCTCAAGGAGTTACTAAAAAAAAAATCACTGAATAGGTCCTTTCCCCTGTATCAAAAGTATTTTAAATCTGGGTGCCTTTACTAGCTGTATTGCGCATAGCAACATCCACAAAGAATGCAGTAAAAGTCATAATTGGTCAGAAATATCTTATCATGCAAATAAATGGCTGCCATATTTGTTGTGAAACAGTACACTATGTAACTGAATATCCCTTATAAAATGTATTTTGTATAAAGTAGCAAGTATTTTCATATCTTCTGGTTTAGGAATAAAATTTCAAGTAAAGTAAAATATAGCAATATTGTTCTAAAATATTACTGTGATTTCCATTGAAAATTTAGTTTCAGAATGATTTTCATCTTTTATATTTAAAAATAACATGTACATATCTTGAAAAGCGAAATCATGAACAGTAGCATCAGAAAAAACAATTTAATGTTATAAAATTGTATTGTGAGGAAGCAGCCATCGATATAATGTCCACATTAGTTTCCTGTTGATGCTGAAAAAATTGAAGAAGTGCCAACAGTTAATCCAAACTCCTACAATCTTCTCACTGCAGCTCTCTTCTTATCACAGCTTCTGGCATCAGACAGGAAACTTAACTATGGAAGTAAGGAAGTTTCTTCTGTATAGCTGAGAGTCCAAGACAGTGTCAGGAAATATTGTATCTTTGGTGATTTTAAGTCTTACTGATTTTAAGAAGAGATCATTTAAATGATATAAGTATAATGAAAATCATATCACCCTCCAGTGTTTATCTTTTTACCTTTGATGTGCTTACATGTTTCTCCACATGACAACAATCTCAAATACTCATATTTTTTCCATGTACCATTGCAGTTACATGCCATATTTCTACATACATAGCAAAAAAGTACCTACATGAAATGATAAATTATGCATGAATTGGTTGTTGACAGCTTTAAAAACGGCTTTCCCAGTATTTATCATTTCTAGTTTTCTTGTGGAATAACCTTGACCTTCCCAGTAGATAGAATGCAGCGTACTGAAATATGAGTTTGGGAAGATTTCTTATATTAAGTAGGTGTGTAATAATGATTTTCAGTTTTGGCTCTTACTAAAGTCTCTTTTTGTGTTTTCAGCTTACAAATTTGGAGAGGAAGTGGCAGCACCATGAGCAAAATAACTTTATGATGAAGGAATGTATCCTTTTATTTAAGAAATACTGTGAAATTCACACACAGTAGTAATTAAGGAAGAAGTCTATTTCCTCTACCAGCACAAGACAGGACAGAATGGGAAGCAGGAGACAGGGGAGGAGGGGAAAAAAGCAATACTTTGCAAATACCGGTTTCACCTAGTAGGTATTATATATGATGAAACTTGCTTCTTTAGTCTGAAACAATTTTAATCCCATTTAAAGAATGGGATTTGTCTTTACAGTCCAGATTTTTTACTGTCGAGTCAGTTTTGCCATTAGGTTTCATACCTGTTCAAAGATTATCCTTATGTCTATCCGTTCTTACCTCAAATTATCCAGCAAGAGTAGTATTGTTTGAAAATGTATATGGCATGGTGACTTTGCCTGATATTTTGCCGTTGCAAAGCACAATAAATATCAACAATGAAAAAGAAAAACAATCTATTTTATGCATTTTTATGTATTTCTTGTTAAATAAAAGAGGATTTGAATACTAGAGAGAAAAATTTGGAATAAATCTAGTCAGATATGACAAGGAGAGTCTTTAACTGCAGAATCAACTAGGATGGGGGAACTGTGATGTTATTTTCTCATTATATGATGTTAATTGAAGAGGTTCTTTCCACAATCTCCCCCACTAATCACATAAGATTTTCCAAATTACCAGCAAAATCTTATTTGCTGCAAATGACTTTCATAAAATAGCTTTTTAAATTAACAAAAGTGGTCACGTTTCTAAGAGTTGGTGTACTTCTCATCGTGTACTGTTTACCATAATTCTTGTAGAGATCTGAGTAGGGTGTAGTGGTAAATTTCTTTTATTTTCCGGTGAGTATGAATTCACTGCAGTAAATTCCCCACTTTATTTTTGTCTTCTGGATCATCTTAATGAAATATCAAAGATACATAGAATCACTTTTTATAATTACAGAACAAATACATTAGAAAAGTAACAGCAAAACTAGACCATATTCATGTATTCACAACCCTACACCAATGCTGTGTGTTAAATAATGGACAGCGCTCAGAAAAAGACACATGAAGATATATTTCAGGCAATTCTATAGTACCTTAGCCCTCAGAAAAAGAGCTGAATATAGAATCTGCATAAACTATTATTTTTTTCATGTACAAAATATCACAATTCTTATGTTTCATAAGTGCTGTAATCCTTAAAAAAAAGACACTAATGAGAGTCTTGGACAAAGGCATATTCCTTTAGCAGTAGTGAATTTTTTTAATTTTTGTGTATGTGTATGTAACATATGTTACATATGTAACACATATGTATGCATACATCTCTCTCTCTCTCTCTCTCTCTCTTTTTCTCTCTTTCTCTCTCTCCATATCTATATTTGTGGAAAAATATATTTGTTCAATAATAAGCTGTTATACTTAAAAGTCTAATAGAATGAAGTAATTCAAGTGAAATAACCTGTTCTTTTTTTTCTTGAAAAAGAATCAACAATACACATTTGGATTATTCTTTGTATGTGCCTTCTCAGGTTTCCACCAGAAGACTAACCACCTTATGACATGATGTATTTTTGACCTCTGGGCATCCTACTGTTCTTCGAGATAGGATCAGGTGAATATTAATATTTTACCTTCTGGTAAGCTCCAGCTTACCTCCACATGACTGAGGTCACACCTTGATAGATCTTAGGACTTACTATCAAGTTCCAGAAGAGCCTACTGACATTCAAGAAATAGAGCAATCTGCACCATTAAGAAGGCTTTATAGGAATATTTTATTAAGTCAAGAATGTTACTCTTTCTAATGGGGGAAAAAAAAGACCCTCTAAAAAAACTCAAGAGAAAAAAATAATTATTACACTACTACAAGCTTCTCCTAGCTTACTGCGATGTATCACTCATCCAAGTGCAGATGCTTGCACAGTTTTATGTGTCTGCTTGGGCTCGTGAAAAGAAACGATCCAGTTTGCTTGGGCTGGGGGGATTTTTGTATCCTGAATTCTAGGGTGCACAAACATATGACTTTAAAGAGCTGGTGTGCTTTGACGTGGGCAGAGTCTTCCTTGAGGCAGCTGAAGAGGCAATACACGTAAAAACAGCAGTTACTCAGGTATGGAATCTCTTTTTGTCATGCTCGAGATGAGTTGACAACTAGCAGATTAGTGTAAAACTTTTCAATTGAATTAGAGTTTTTCAACTGTAGAGTTTGCCACCCTCGACATTTTTTGCAGAAGAAAACTTACTGCAATATGGTTCCCTTGTGATCTCTAATTTTATTATGCTAATATTATGCTAGTAGCTATATCAACAGTTTGTTTCCTTAATTCTTTTAATCAGTTATAGCAACAAAAAGTCAGGAGACTGACTACCAGCCAATAGTGAAGAACGTGAGAAAGCTGATCACAGAATATAACAAAGCTCTCATAGAATCTTTACAGAACACCAAGAACTGAACCCAGACGCTTCCTTCTTGTTCAGTGGACCATCAATGAGAGATGTGCACAAGTAGCATGGAAAGCTGAGCTACTGAGCTTATTGGCTCAGCAGTAATGTGATAGGTGCTCTTAAAAGTGTATTTCCAGGTTTATAGAAATTACAAGTTTTAAAAGTAGTCCTTATTTTAGAAATGTTAAATGTTAATAAGTATTTAGGAATATTTAGAGATGAATAGAATATATGTTGCGTACTAGGTGTAAAAGCATTAAAAAATTTATTTAGGCCTCTTGCTAGATTTTTACTTAGGGGTGCAGTTTCAGACTGCTTTACACAATGAATTTGTGTAATTGTCTTGTAGTCCTATTCCTACAAAACAGAATGGAAGTCTTCCCTGGAAAAGGACTGTCTGGGCTTTTATACACATTGATATTGAATGAAAGTGTATAATAAAATAAGTGATTCTTCAGCTAACATATATAAGCATGCCTTCTCTAAATAGCAATTTATGGTGATGAAGGACAATAGCTAAGAACAAAAGGACTCCTTAAATTAGGATGCTTTCACATTATAAAATCTCATAGCAAAAATAAGCATGTTTTAAAGATGTATCAAGTGTATCAACAAATATTCAATTCCTAAAGGAGAACTGATTAATTTCTGGAGCATCATCTTATTTTATATGTTTTTAATGTGGTTATGAGGAGAGAACTGCAATAAAAATGTAGTGAAACACATAGCTAGTACTGACTTTGTACACAGCAACAATAGTTTTGTGGTATTCACCAATAAAAAGTAAAGAGTAAAATCCTTTGTATTTTCTGCAATGTTTTTTCCCTCAGCTTTCCAGCTACAGTGTCATATGTGACCTGTACTTTGAGAAAAACGCATGGAATAGAGCATTCAACCTAGAACAAAACCAGGACTAATATAGAAGCATCAATGTGCTTAATCATAAAGAAATATCAGAAAACATTGAAATAAAACAAAACTTCCCTGTATATTTATTTCCCTCACATTCTACCTGTAATGTAATTATGAACTCCCTGTTGGTATTTCCTTAACCTTATATATTTTAAGCTAGGTCTAGTCAGTGAGAAAGAAGTATAGCAGAGTGTAGCTGGGAATCCTAGCCAGACAGTCATCTAGTCCATGAACAGTAGAGACTAGACCTTAGGAAAGTCTTTACAAAAAAGAAGCAGACTATCAGCTTCACTTTATAAAATTTGAGCAGACAGAGAATTTAAAAATATGCATTTTTTGTTAAAATATAAATTATATATTTTTATGTCTGAATTTCTCCACATCTGTGGTTGTCATGTTGAGTAGGTAGGAAAAATGTTTACAACAAATATGTTGAAGATTCTTACACGGAGGACCGTTTCCAAATTCAGCTCAGTAAAAACGATTACTCTCTATATTTATGCCCATATAATATTTAGAGATAATGGAACAGGATTTCTATAAACCTGAGTCTTGTTATCTAGGGGAAATTCCCACTAATGCCTCTTCCTTCCTTTCAGAGTTTTAGTTATTCCAGAGAGAACCGTTATTTGCTCAAATTAAGTCTACTGTTCTCACCACTCGAACCGTTCATTAACCAGTGAGATTGCCTCCTAAGTACAACTCGTGCTACAATAACATGTTTTAATGGACAAGGGAAAGAAGCTGCAAACTGAATAAACAGACAGCTTTTAATTCCCATTCACTCAGGGCAGGGGATTTCTTTGTTCCTTGGCACTGATTCTGTGAGATAGCGCGGTAAAGATTTGTGGTGTTCTCCAGGAGATGTCAGTCATAAAAACACTCTCTCCAGCTCTCTATTCTTGTTCCTGTGCTGTGGATAGTCTCCAGATTCTCCAGGTTACATGTTTTTTCCTGAGAACTGCTTCAGTCACTCCTTCTTCTAACAGTTCATCTTCAAGATCCGAGATAATGGTCACATTATTCTTGGCTGAAAAAAGCTGCATGGAATCCGAATGGTGAATTGCAAAGGTGGTACTGATTTCCTTCCAGGAGATTAGTGTGTTTGCTAACATGCCACTCCCAGTTGTGAGCTGAGTAATTTGTATCCATATGTAGCTCCCAAAGTCTGAAGTCAAATACCCTTTCTTTAACCCTCTTTGTCATTTTTCTAGCCGAATTTAAGTACTGAACGCACGCATGGAATAAACATTTTTCTACTGAAGCTCCTCTGTGTGTATCAAGACACTAATTCAATAGCACAGGTCTTTGTACCCAGGCAATTTTTTCCCCATTTTATGCAGTGCCTTCAAACAAGAGAGCATGAATTAAGTGGCAGCATAAACACTGAGCAGAAAAGTGTCACACTTGAGGTGTGAGGGTACAAGGATTGATCACATCTGCCTCTATAAATCATCCAGAACACTAGGTGTCACTGTCTAATACCGGGCTGTAGTTACAACCCCAGCCTGCGTCCCGCTTCATTGACGCCCTACATGGAAATAAGCCTTTCAGTTTCAAAATATTTAGCCAGAAGGTCCCTTATTTCTATGTTGTATTTGTGCTTTGTGTGACAATGAATATAGGAATAATTGTTATTCCCGCCTCATAATCTGACTACGTTGCACTGATCTTCTTTCCATACCCCAGGATATCACAGCATCTCCAGGCGAACTGTGCATCTGCTGCAGGAGCAATCCCTTTGTTGGTCTTACTGCTACGTCTTATCTTCACCGCTGCTCATTTCGACTTAAAAAGTTATTTTTCTTTCAAAAATCAGTTGAATTCTTAGCTTGTGTTAGTGAGCTTGGGAGAAAGTAGGATACAGTTCTTCCATGAGCAATTTCAGACAAGCAGAAGATTCAGATCCTTTTTATTTAGTTCCACCTGACCACATTAGTTACTTCTTAATGCTGGTATGTACTGTTTCAAAATCAGAGGGATACATTTCTGAAGTGCTATATAGTCTTTCAGCACACACCCATTTTTCTGCTGCAAAAGTAAAACAAAAATAAATAAAGCAGACCTCATGATGAAGCATTAGAGATAAGAGTATCTTACTTTGAGGATAAAGCTATTAACATGCTTTCCTTTATCCTGCTAAGTGTCTTGGAGTGAACTCCTTGGAAACATATTTGCCTCAGACTACTCTGAGGCACCCGTCTGGGTGGGGTGGATGTTGCAATTGTCAGGAGTGAAGAAAAAAAAAAAAAAAAAAAGAAAAGGGTTCAGAGAGAGACTGGATGAAGTTGGGATTGACTTGAATGCACCCCCAACAACAATGAATACTAGTTGAACGCTAGACAGTAGGTGGCAATTGCAGCCAGGGCAGTATTGCCAAATGCAGGTTAATCACCGGGAAGGGGAACTGAATTATTCCCAAGCTGATATCTTTTTTTCCTTCTTCAGTAAAGAGGAAGGAAGCCTTTAAGCATTTTACAACTGCACAGATGACTTGAATTCAAATCTAGCTTTGATCCATCACTCACTGGGATTGGCAGAAGTTTGGAGCAGAGGAAGAAACGTTCCTTGCCTTTACTTATGGTCTAGACTGCAGGTTCTCATTGCAGGAAGGAGGGCTAACTAGGTGATATTGCAAGCATGTAAAATGGAGGAATCCTCCCATATTTTAAAAAAATGAGCCAGAAGTGTAAAATGATCTGCCTGGTTTCTATTTATAAAACTAACTACTTGAAAGCTACATTCATTAAAAGTGGCTGAGCTTGTTTCTCTCATCACAGATATCTTTGGATCAGTCCTAGCGTTTCTGCTGTGGTGTAAAGAATGAGAAAGGTGTAAGACTTCTGTGTCTGACATATGATGTCAGTTTGTCCACAAAGACTATTTCAAGTGGGGCAACGGGGACTCAGCATCTCTGAAAATCAGACTTTATATGTAGAAGGAAAAGAAGGGGTACAGTAGTGCTTATAATGGAAATAATTATCAAAAAGTATTATCATCATACCAACAGCTATGCAGGAGAGACAAAGTTCAAAATAGACTTTCCAATATCCTTCCTGTTCCTTTTTTTATTCCACAAATAAAGAGAGGGTATCGCTTGGTTTGGGCTTGTTTTCAGATTTGCTGTATTTGAAATAGTTTGAAGATTATTTCCTTTTTTCAGGGTTATTGAGCTTAGTGTAGAATATTGATAGTCATTTATCCATATGCAAATCCACATTTTAACTTCCCGTCTCAAGATGAAAAGTGTATTTCCTTCACTCTTCCTTATTTCAAGAATGGCTCTAATTATGTTGTTCAAGATCTCAAAAAAATTACCATTTACAGTTCATCCTTTCGTACAGAGTTAAGACTGAATCGAAAGCTGAAGGTTTCAAGGGAGGGGATGGGTACACTGCAGCTCACCCACAGTATGTCTCTGACTGTCCTATATTAGTACAAGATTTTAGCCAGTCTCATTGTGAGGTAAATTTGAAAGGAGAGCCAGGTAGATAGCAAATTTCTTGCTAAGTTACATTTGCTGTTGAAGGCTGGAGGCCAACATTCAATTTTTGAGAGAAAAAAATGCCTATGTATGTTTTGGGAGAATTATAGGACAAATTAACAAATGAGTAAAAAACTATTCAAACCTTGGGTGGATTCTAATCACTGTAAAGTTAAACAATGCAGTCATCAAATTAAAGTTACCGTTAGAATCACATTAACGCTATGAGATGAATTCAGTGGAAGATAGTGGATCTTGCACACAAGATTTCAAGAATGACCTCTTATAGCCTTAATGGATAAGAATGATAACCTTGAGATCTGATTAGCATGACCTATTTCACAGTCCTTGGAAGCAATAGTCAGGACTGCAAACTTTATACGTACTAAGTGGGTTACACAAATAATCTTTATTTCTCCAAAGTGCTCTTATTTACTTACAGTTCAGTTTCATTTATAATGGCAGGCTACTCTAGGCAGACTTAGTATTACCCACCAGAATTACAAGGGATGATTCAGTGTTAATATTTTATAGACATTTGGATATTGAGTTGTTAGCATTTAAACGTAAATATATAGACTTATTCGTCTTCCAGAATGTGTTGTAGCAAAGTAATACTAGGTAGAAAAGCAGTAACAAAATATAGAGAGGAAAAATATTATGAACTCTATAGCTTCTGTATCAGCTTCGGTCATCTGATGTTGGTTGATTTCTCTTCCAGCCTGGAAGGCTGCAAAACCTCAATCATCTCCAGACTTTGTACTGACTTCAGGACAGCATTTGCATTAACATCCCTTAGGTTTGTCCTCCAAGAATCTGATCCAGTCTTGGCATAAAGAACCAAAGCTTGAATTTGGATTAATTTAGCATGTGTTCAGAATCACCCCTTTTAGCACACCATTTAAAAAGCAAAGCAGATATGCGCCAAAACAGGTCAACAATGGGATCAAAAAGAGATGACATCAAGGATGTGATTATATCCCCTTCATACAAACATACCAGAGTAAACAGCTTATTTCTCACTCATGTGACTTCATAGATTTGTTTGACACTATCAGTAGCCATCATCGTTGCTGACTCTTAGCTTCATGTCTCATACTTCAATTTTTCCAGTACCTCTTAAAATAGTCTCATTTCCTTTCATCACTAGCAAAGAACTGGGAAACAAGAATTATTTTGTCAAAAATATTTCCCTCTGCTGACAACCGGCCATTTTAAAATCTAAAAAAAACCATATAAAGCCTATTTCAGCAAAATATAAGTCATTGTCACAGTAAGTTTCCAGAATATAAGTATTAGTCCATAGTCACATAGGCGACTGTCCTTCTCCACGACACTACTGCTAGAGAGGCCTCTCTGTACAAGATATAACGCGGTATTGTTTAATCAGCTGAATTTCCCCCTTGAAAGAAATTCCCGCAAGATCTTGGCTTTGATTTTATTGTAGTAAAATCCCTTTCGTTTGAGCAGCAAGGAAAACAAGAGAGTAAAAGCTCCCCTTGGCTAAGGCTATTCTATAGATTGCTCAATACTCAGCCATTTTCCACACCATAGTTTCCAGAAGGCTCCAGAAAAACACCTTTTTGACAAGAAAACAAAAGTGCTGAATAAAAAACTGATCATAGCTTTATTTAGCACCCCTGGGTTGCCTTTAAGTATATGCAGAAGAGAGAGTAGAAAAAGCATGAAGTAGCTGAAAATTCTCAGCAGGGGCTCCCAAATCAAGTGACTGAGCTACAAAAAACAGACTGTCTCACACTTATGAGCCCATGTTAACATTTTGCACCATTGCAACATCATAGCTTTCCACACATAATGTCCTCTATCCTGGTATTTCCTATCTTTCACAGCATAATCACAGCCCTCACCAGAGAAACCCTTATCTCCTTCCCATTCCCACACTGCCGCACTGCCGCTGTATCCATTCCCAGCCTAGGGGATACCTCATTCCGACTGGTTAACTGGAGACTGGCCAACGGGCTGCTACCTCTAACTTCCAGGTGAGCCAAAATATATGGCTTTCAGAGCTGTGATTAGCCTCTACAGCATAGTGCAGAGTAGGACCTGCAGTAAGGAAGCTTGAACTCTAACTTATGAGCATCTGCTTCACATTAGCTGCTTGCGGTGGTAATGATTCCTACATTTTAATGCTTTAGTTCTAATTCCTACTGCTTGCTGCCTCTTGCTAAAACACACATATTATTATCATATCAAGGCCAAAGCAATGGCTTGTTTCCAAAAAAGCATAATATAGCCAGATGCTGCAAGAGGATATGTACTTTCTGCTAATATATCTACCTGATTAAAGAAATGCAGAGTTGCATTGTCTCTTTTCCTCCTCACATATTTCCATGTGCTACCGCATGTATGAATGGACTGTCCTTGAGACAAGCATGCTGCTTATCTAAAGAGGAAAGCCTGGTGTCAGGAGTTCAGGGCACTTGACGTGTCATAAAATTAGCCTTCAATAAACAGAGTTATTGACAGTCATGTTTAATGCTGGGGTTATAAGTACATGTTGAAAGATTATTTATTTCTCTATTGTAGCCAATTTAAAAATTCAAATAAACTATCCTGATGGCTGTTAAGTTAGATATGGGTGCTGATATTTATTAATCAGCAGCAACCACTTATAGAACTGATGTTCCTGACAGCGGAACACTTTAGGATCCAGATTGGATTGGACAACCTTTCTGAATCTTGCCCAGTATCTTTAAAAAAAGGCAACAGGTGCAGTGAGTGGGTCTCAAATGCAGGTAGCAACCCACCTGACGACATGCCTATTGTTCAGATCAGTTATCATCAGCCTCCGTTAGCCCCTCATCAAATAAAACCTAAGTAACGCAATATCTTACTTTGTTCTTGCTGCCATCTTCTTTCATAACTTTTAACATCTGGGTAACTGTACCTTTAATTCTGACTTTTAGCGTCACGCTGTGCCCCATTTTGCAGTTTCAAATTCTAAGATGTTGATCTTCGCTTACACTGTGCAGGAACCCTGAGTCCCTAGCAGTGAGCACTAAACTTTCACCTTACCAGGCAGGTGAAAGCTGTCTAATTAAACACCAAGTTTCTTTCACTGATAATCTGATTTTGACAGAAGGCCATTTCTTGTTCCCTTTAATAGGGAATACAGGCTGACATACACGATCCTCTTATTTGTAGCATCAGCCAACATAAGCCGAGGACTGGATACCAGTGTTTGGACTATTATATGGGGTATGGCTATGGTATTACGGCTGGTTGGTGGTAGAGGACAGGTGATTCTACTGCACTTCTATGCGATTCGAAAGTCAGAGGGATGATCAGAGCTTAATATAAACTACTTCTGGGAAGACTCACATTCTAATAATATGAAAAGTAAGGATCAAAATATGAAAAGTGAGGCTGACAGATGCATAAATAAGTAAAAGTGAGCTAGTTACAGTGAAATCCTTTTAATTCCACAATCCATCATTAGATTTGACTTCAAAAGGAACAATAATCAAACTGTGGCGCTGTTTCTGTTTTCTAAATAGAAATAGATATAAGCTCAAAATTATGCATAAGCAAGTAGCACCTATGATTTAGCAAATATTTAACTATTTGTTGTTCGTTTAAAAATGAAACAATATAATGAAACACAAAACAGAATATAACCCTGCTGAGACTCTTATCCTAATCACATTCTAACCTGCATAGTTACATATTTCTCCTCTTCTGGCTTCAGCAAGATTTTTCATTCTTCTTGTATCTGTGAAGTATTGCATAGTCTTGCTGTACACTCATCCTGGGGACAGCTACTTTTCTGTGGCAGATGAAATGACCAGCAGGCACAATCTGACTCTTCGAAGAACAGTGAATTTTCACCTTAGCTGACCTAGCCAATTTGCGTACTGAAAAATCAGTATCAGCAGCCATCCATGTGCATTGCTTTGTATTTAGGTGCATTACAAGTAAGAGACATCAAGGCTTTCTCTTCAGTGAGCTGTTTACATCCTGTGGAATGAGATTTAAATGAAATACTTGAAAAAAACTCTAAATACAGAATAACCACCTGAAGAACGAAAGTCTTGATGCATCCCAGAAAAATTAAAACAATAAGCACTGAAGAGAAACTGCAGATAGCCTAAGCTAGAAATAGGTTAAATGAGCAAGAAAGCAGAGCTATCCTCTATACAGAAATTATGATAATACTGATTATCTCATAAGTAAGTATTCTGATATTGAGTGGACTTATCCCAGCAGGTATGTAAAGGCTAACACGCAATTGGAGTGCTTCTGTGAATGAATCACTTGCCTTTCATGTCTAGGAGTAGAAGAATATGTTCTCAAAATATCCAAGGTGAACAAAATATACACATGTGCAAAAAACCCAGAGCAGGGAAAGATCACATATGCCTCATCCTTTAAGCCTTAACACAGAATTTTAGTAGTGCATAGGCACCTTGTTTTTGCAGCTGGAGAAATTTCTAATTTCCTACTTGATTTGTCTTTTGGGTTTATTTCTGGAGGATGTAAGGAGCAGCCTGTGGTTGATGCACTGAAACTTCTGCTGGTCATACTTTTCGGTCCATACAGCAATAGATTTGGGATATGAAAGCCTTCCTTTGTGAAATGTGTGCCAATTGAAGGCTAACAGCTAAAAGGTTAAGCAGGTTAAATCAAAGCAGTATCACTCCACACCCCATTTCCCAAATGGGACTAAACATTCACTTTTCGGTATTTCTGTAAAAGTAATTCTGGGTGTTAGTTTCTTGGCAGAGCCTCAGGATTTCAAATGCTACATTGTGATGGGTTATATTTAGTGAAATGGTAAATAAGATTTCCCTTTATTTGCAGTTACGTTTATTTATCTAAGTGCTGCCTCTCCATTTATTTGATTCATCTTCTTCAGTCCATGTGGTTTTTCATTCGTATTTTGTTATTGCTTCTGTGTTTTGAAGACCTTTTGCGTGATGTGGCATTTTGGTTCCACTGAAGTCAGAAAAACTCTGCTTGTGATTTATTATTGCAACAAGTTTCTAGTCTGTTTCCAATAATCAAATGGAGAGAAAAATCGTTTCAATCGTTTCATAACAACTAATGAGATAGTTTACTGGAGTGTGGCTAGCGCTGGTGTACACCGGATTCAACTAGTTGTTTTGTTAGAGTTTTGTTTCATGTGTTTATTATTGGGTGATGGAATTCTTTGGAGTCAGCAGCTTTCCCATGGATTAAATAAGTAGTTGGAAATATGATTGTATCCTGAGCAATTAGCATATCTACACTTTGAGCAGGGGATGACGTTTTCTGCCTACTGTAGCTAGATGGAGGGCTTTTTACTTGCACTCTCTCTCCTACTGGAGGATGCCATTATTGCTCCTATTTTGCTGACTGTGACCAACAGCAACCCTCTGCCTCTCCAGCAGCTCCAGATAACTGTTTTGATATATTGCTAGATGGACAGGATTTGCACTGCCCTGCAGTCCTGCTGATACAAAAATGCCTTTAAGATCCTGCCTTTCCCATCCTAATCTACATAGGAAACAGGAAAAGGAACTTAAACTCCCTGCACTCAGACAGCAATGAGACTGTTCCAGCTTGCTCCCATGCTGCAATTTCTTGCCTGTGACTTGTAAACAAGATTCAGAGTACCATGCGAGAGAAGAGTAACTGGTAAACTTTCTACTCCAATAAAAAGGATACTCCATGAGCAGCTGTAAGAACTGGATGGATATATTTTGGAAAGCATGGACCCTTTAGCACATCTAATTTTTTATGGATTCAGCCTGATGATTTCAGGTAAGCCTTTGCTTTAATTTCTGCAGTTGACATGTCATGCCTTTCTTGCTTCTCATGTGCAGACAAGATTCCCTACTTCTTACACTATGACTTGTCTTTGCTAATGTAAATACTTGTGTTGGCTTCAGTAACACGGCTTATTTCTGTGACGCTCTCTTACAGTGAGTGAGGAGAGCAGGACTGTGACTAAGTCATCAGGGAGAATTTAGTTGTTTTTAGGACCTGTTGCTTACTCTTTCTAAGTGTAGAAGTCATTTACTAACACATAGGCACATCGTAACAAGATTTCTCTGCCGTCTTACTGGTATTAAATTTTCCATAAAGCTGATTACTCTGAAACCCTCAGCTCCACCTCGCCTTCCCCCAAATCTGTTCTGAATAGACATTGAACGTCGACTCTTTCTGTGCACTTCAGGAACTGGCCCATGCAGTAGGAAGCACTGGTGTTTCTCTAGTGTTGGTATTCCAGCACTCGATTTTAGACAAACCCTTCATTATGGAATCTAGATATAAGTCAGTGGACATAAAGGTAGAACAATGCCCATTGTATGTAGTCTATTCACAGCACTTGAAATACAGCTGAAGAAAGATTCAGTATTATCAGCAAATGCCATTAGCTTAGCAAGTCAGAAGCTGGTGTCAGTCAGAACAGGCAGATCTGCAGAAAGGTATACAGTTAAGATTTTAATAATACAGATGTAGTTTACAGCATTCAGAACACTAATGCTAGAGATGTTTTACTGAAGCTATCATAAGGTGAATCCTGAAGAAGCATGTTCTCTTCCCTCGGGATTCTCAGTCTCTCAGCACTTAAGTATTGCTAGTACCACCCATACTGTGGTTTTCTAAACCTTTTCTTCAGGAGTAACATACAAAGCAAAGTCTGAAAAGGAGACCTACAACTCACACAATAACTTTAGTCTCTTACTCAGTCCTAAATATTTCATTGGGGTATAGTGAGTTTGTTCCAGTCCATCTCCAGATAAAGCGTAACGCGCTGTAAAGCTGCGGATTGCGCTGCAATGGAAAACAGAATGTAGCAAGAAAAGATAGAGGTCTTCACTGTAGTGTAGTTTGCTTTACGATTTCCAGATCTTCATGATTCACAAAATTAAAAACTCAGTGTAATTATGAACAAATGGGATAGATGTTTCTGATTTTTGGATTACTTTTAGCACCTAGAAAGGCTAGAGATTAATGTAGACCAAAAATAAAAAAAAAAAAAGGATTTAAAATCTCCTGCGTGTGCTTTTTAAGTGTTCTTATCTAGTCGTTGCTGTAACAGGCTGCGTATTGTTAACCAGTTCCTCTTTCATGGCTCAAGCTTCTTGGTTGTTGAGCTGCATTCAACCTATTCAGCCTTCAGATCACGGGCAGCTTTTCACTTTAGGGAAATATCTGGTGCTCTAAGCATAATGGATGGAGAGGAAAAGAAAATCCAGGTACTCCAACAGTTTTTCCGTTTGTCCTTCAGTCTCTCTATGCACGACAATGTGTACTGAACTGCTACCGAAATCAAGTAACATCCATTAAGTCAGGGTATGGGTGAAACAAAAGCCAGCTACACAGACAGCCAGATACACAGACGGTGCAGACAGTCCAGTACCGAAGAGCTGCCAGTCACAGCCTTTTCCACAGTGGCTGACCAGTTAGGTGTGTATTGTAGTCACACCCATCTCAATAGATCTGTCAGCTTTCCCGCTTTTGTTTGAGCGTGATATCATGTTTCCTGGGGCCAGCGGTGGAAGACAATGAGAGCCTGCTTTCGTCTGGATTCAACAGGCGGAGTTCAGGAAAGCAGCACTGACATTCCCTGAGCAGGAGTGGCATTAAAGTCAATGCAATTGGCAGACAGTGAACTGAATTAACCTTGTCTCCAGTGACAGTGGGCTTTTGAGGGTGTGTTGCTCCATCCTGTTCCAAGGTAAGACCTTGGACTTGTCTCCTATCGCAAGAAATGTCCTTTAGTTTATTTTTTTTAATAACATAATTCCATTGTTAGCTAGAGATAAAAATTTAACTTTGAAAGGGGTAGTGTTCAGTACATAGTATAGTCCATATTCACTTTCACACTATATATACAATCACTGCTTGCCACGGCACATGTTAAACTGATAAAAAATTGAATTTAATTTCAGTGGAAGGCTTGAATCAAACAGAGCATCATCACTTTTTTCTGTTGGTTGATTCTGCTCCAGCCAACGTTTTGTAGAATGAAAATGATCCTGGTACTTAAAAAAGCGTGGATCCAAGCCCCAAGGTTGCGGCTTCGTACAGATTCTTTTAAATCCTGAGAGAAGAAGTCTTCTATACGCGGGTATTCCCTTAAAGGCTGAGTGCCACAACAAGGAATGACTGTCAACAGCTTGCCTTTTGGCTGTTAACAATACCCTCATATGGTCTGGAAAATCGCCTGCAGCCTCTCACAGTGGGCTAGCACTCAGAAATGTTCATGTGTGTGTAGTCTATGTTAGTAAGATAGCCGCCATCAATCAGAGATCGGTGTAAACCAGCAACAAGTGAAACCAGTTTCAAGTACATTTCATAGACTGTTTCTGGCAGGAAACGTACATTATCAAATGTCTCCATTCTCAAAGAGAGATAGACTCTTCTGTGTTACAGCCTTGCGCTGCACCAATGATGTTAGGTCCAGTGGGTTTCTAAAAATACTAGAACTATTTTTTGGGGGATTTTGCTGTTGCATCCACATATGGTTATATTAGCCTTTTAAGAAAGGATGACAGTGAAACTAACAAACAGTGCAGTGGAAATCTGTGATAACGATGTATAATAACTGTAGATAGCTGAACTTTCTTTGGGATAAGTTAGGTATTATCATGAGAAAAAGATATAATCATTTATTATTGTTATGTCACTCATTTCCATACTTTCAAAGCTAAAAACTTCAATCAAAATACATTCCTACATGCACAAAAGCACAGCTAGTATATTGTAGGCACTTCAAAATCACAAAGAAGTGGCACTTTTTAGTTACAGACTGGTAAGTCCTAATAACTCTGTTTCAAGATATTTTTTTTTCCTTTTGTGAAGCTTGATGTTAACATAAAGAAAACCTATTTTCTGTGGTTAATACAGGCCTCTGACAATGAATGTGAATGTCATTCTTCCCATAATTCCAGAGACTAGAATCATGTGATTGTCTTCAAACATACTATTGCCAGATTGAAATTGCACCTGAACTTCAGACTTGCTCTATCTAATGGCTACAGCTCTGGGTTTCTGAGCCTTTGACAGCTAAAGCAGCTGACAAAAACCACACTTGAGCTTATGATTGCTATTTCAGAACTATTTTAACTAGACATTAGACTGGTACAGTACCCTTAGGACATCTACATTTTCAAACAACTACTATTCTGAATTGGAGGAAAAGTTAAAAAAAGGGTTTCCAGTTCTTATTCGTGAAGTGTATTTGATTTGTGAGATCTGGCATTTGCATCTGCCTGCCACACTAGCACCCAAGGAGCGCTGTCCTGGTGTTTTCTTCATGAGCCTTAAGTTTACGTGAAACTTGGACTCTTCTTTAGATATAGCCTTCATCTAATTACAGAAATTACAGGTCTGCCAGAGGAATTTCTGGTTGAACATCTGTGACCTGCTGAATGTTAGCAATTCTGCATAGTTTCATTTGGATGTTCATCACTATGAAACCAATGTATCTCTGTTTTGGGACAAAAAAGGGCTATCTTGTTTTAATTACATTTCTGGCTATATGTTTGCAAAGAAAAAAGTACCAGCTGTGACCTGATTAATTGCTCTCTGACTCTGCAGCTAGCAGCCAAAAACAGCAGCTTCAGCCTGTGCAGTCAGCTCTGGGCACCTACCCTAAGTGGAGTTACGACAGTGGCCTGATTCCCATCATTCCTTTTTTAGCCTTACATTTTGCTTATGGTTTGTGCCTGATTCAGCCCCAGTGAAAAGCAGAGTAGCTTTGGGGAAGCCTGTGTTCCCAAAAGCCATTCCAGCAGCTGGGAACAGTCAAAGTGAAAAGACGTTACATCAGATCAGGCAAAATCAAATCTAAAAGGGTAAAATGAAATCACGCTATGTTCACAATTATTAATATATGCTATCGTTTTAGATGCAGGTTATGTATTTATATTTTTATATATATATAAAACATATTATATATATATTTATATAAATATATATTAGATTGTTCAGCTATTACATCATAATTAAGTTGGTTGAATGGATTTTTTTTTTTTTTTGATGCTTATATGCTTATTTCAGGGGAAAAATGAAGCTGAAACACTTTGCAGAGATGGTCTGATCGCCACAAAAGTATCATTTGGGAGTCTTTAGGTGGAGAAGAGGGAGCAGAAAAGTCAGAGAGCTTTACTATATAGACTGACAGCAGCTTTAGTGTATGGGAGGTGAGGAGCTGGTCCTTCATATGCCGCCTGACAATTATTCGTGGTGGAAGTCTGCTGTCAGTCAGTCACACAGACTTGAACCTGTTTGGCCCAGACCTGGCTCTTGAGCACATACATTTCCTGTTCAGGAGTCTTAAGGTGTGCGCCGTATGGGGAGGAAGCTGTAGGCACAGAACAATATCAAAAGTGGATGCATCTACTGCTTCTGCATGATGTTTACATTGTTCTATGGTCAACCTGTCTAATGAAGTGGCTTGGTTAGTTTCATATTTGGAGTTTAACAAGTTTGTCTAGACAAAACAGTTCCATCTGCATTTCTGACAATGATGGTGCATGCAATACAATGCTCTTGTATTATTTTCTGGCTCTTTATCCCAGCCACACCACTAGCCTGGGGAGCCTTAGCCTCCTTAGTGGCGAAGTGTGCTTAGCACCAGAATCATCTCCTGCATTTCTTCACTTAGACAAAGCAGTAAATAGTAAAGTGAGGGTACAGACAAGAACAGAGTAGAGTATGTCAGTGCAGCAGCCAAAGCTCTTAAACGCTTCCCGTCGCTGCTTATTTTATGCACGTTATATGCTCTGATATATTCTATGGAGACCAAC